AAAAAAAAAAAAAAAAAAAAAAAAAAAATTTTATAAAAAAAAAATAAACATATGTATAAATTTGGTAGGTTAAAAACGAAATATATAAAATAAAATAATTTATCCATTTTCAATATAAAAGTTAGAAACAAACAAACAAAATTAACAGATAAACAAACGTAAAGTGTTGTTTGTTCATTCCTTATATGCACATGATTTTCTCATATGACCTCTGATTTTGTTTATTGATAATCTAATATAACATGATTTTACATGATCTACAAAATAAAATATTCCCACAGCTAAGGCTTATATAGATATTGAACATATCAATTATCTACAATTTCCGTAATATGCAACTTTTTTCCCCATTTTATATTTCCTATTTTATATAATATTTAAGAAATTTTAACATTGTACTTGCGATATTGTAATTTGTAATACATTAGTAAGAATCGATTATAAATCTAAATATTTAAATACTTTCATGCATTATTATTTAACTGTTTGTGCATGTAATATATGAAGTTATTGGCGCATCGGAATAATATTCTTATATGTTTTACCCTATCAACGTAAATATTTCATTAATCAAACTTTTGATCTCATTTATTGTAAATTTTAATCAATTTTTATCTAGTTTTTCAATTCGTGGATCATCCATTATTCGCGATCCGAACAACATGTGATTATTCGTCAAGAAAAATCGACAGATGATTCGTCTAACTAAATTTAGTTAATTCCTCTTTATGTTTGCAAGAACGATAATATAAATTTTTTCACTATAGGAACTGACAGATGATCCGACTTAACCCGATCTCAGTCCGTCATCCGATCCGTCAACAAAACCTAATTTACCGTATTTCTTAATTTCGAGTATATGTTAACTCTTAATGTCCAAATTTCTATCGATGGTATAAATTTCATAATTTTTGAATGAATATCGATCGAGATATCATCAAAAGGTGCTTATTTTTGGTTATTATATTAAACGTGAGGTGCTTAATTTCGGCGGTATCTGAGTAATCTGACGGATGATGGATATCCGAATTTTAAACGGATAAACGCTACTTCTATCTTTGTTCGTATTGCACAAAATAAAGCGCGTCTTTCTCCTTTTTCAAAATTTATGAAAAATTTTTATCGATTTATCCCTGTTAACCTATTATCCTTCAGAGAAGCATATTGTTTTGAATTTCATCATCATTGTAATTACGTCGTAGATGTTTCCTAACTGAAAGACTTTCTCCCTTTTATATAATCTCTCTTTTCTCTCTTGTAAGATATATATATGGTGGCTCAAGAGCGTTACCAGGATGACTTCTTCCAATATCATCAAGTGCTCAAGTGTACAGTATATGGTCAAACTCCGATATAAAAATATGTTGGGATTAGTATTTGAAATCTTTGAAAAACATCTATAATGGGAAAGTAAAATTCTATCGTTATATCGAGTTTTTTTAATATACCAGACAGTATACCAAATATTGTTATATTGAGCTCTGATTATAGCATGAAGAAACTCAACTTGGAGAATGAAATTTTACGGAGGTGGCAGAAAATTTAGTTGAAGAACCATTACTTAATGAATAAAAAGAATCTATTTGTGTAATTTCAAGGAAAATTATTATACCGTATTTTGACGTTCCGTGCCAATCGACTGCTGATGATCCTGGTAGCTTATCAAGTGTTTTTAAACTGACGAAGATCTACTAGATAATTTGTGTCTCTTTCGTTCCGAAATAGATAGGAATGTTAGTCTTCGATTCCGTCCTATCTAATGAGAGGTTACAAATAATGTTTTTAGTTCATTAAAAGTGTTCTTCTCTTGTTTATATCTCAATGTTTTCTCGATAAAAGTTAAAAGATGCGAAAAAACATTTTTTAAATTTAACAAAAATGAAGTAATATATTTTTTTTTAAAAAAAAAAAAAAACTTGAAATATTTCATAATTATCAATTTCGAAGTTATTTGTTACATTAATATTAGAAATTGAATATCATTGATTATCTGAAACCTTAATAACATTATAATAATCATTACACCGCCCGTATAGCACATTTACCAAATTTTCTGCATTTGATTGCTAAATGAAAATATAAGCTAGTATCCAAATTTAATTAAATGGGAATTTAGAAAAACTAAATAAAATCTTTAGGTTTAAAACAGATGGTTTCTAAACAAGTTTCTACGTATAAAACTATAATAAATATAATAAATATTTATATAATTACAAAATGTGAAATTCCTTAAAATTTGTCCGTGTCAAAGCTATGCGACATTAACGCGTAAAAGTAAAAATTATTACGCGACGCTGACGACAATTATTGATATGTGATATTAAACTATTAAAGTTTAAAGGCATAGTGTTGTAGTGCTGTAATGAGTCGTTGCAAAATTTTCATATAAAAAATATACTTTCGCATACTTAGGCATAATTAACAGGGTGGTAAATACTCATATGGTATGAGGTGATAGTGACTAAAAAGTTTGTAAATTTTGTAGAGCACTTGTATCATTAGTTAGCGAAAAAAGGAGAGAACTTGAAAAGTACCAGAATGATCAAAATTAAATTTTAAAATTTTCATTTTTTTTTTAATTCTCATGGAATTAATAATTTAAACCAATAATAATGCGAACAAAACAATAGAAAATCGAGTGGAACAGGATAGCACTCGAATAAAGTATTTCATTTGAAATATTTAATTATAGTTGATTATTTGGTATTGTATCGCATAAATATTTTTATATATATTCAACTTTTGTCAAATAAAATAAATTTCCACTTTTCAATTTACCTTAAATCCAATACTAATTTTCGAACTTGAAATATAAGGTTATATATAATGAAAAATGACTTTGTATTTTATTCAATTATTATATTTCTTAGTGAGACTTAGATCATTTTGTGGTAATTCATAATCATTCATTACGATATTGGAAAAGGATATTTTTTGTCGATTTGAAAAGTTTTTAGGTAATTTCATATAAAATTTTAAACCTCATTTAAAGTGTTTTGTATTTTAATTATCACAAATTTATGTATGACAAAATTGAACTCTTTATAGGGAGAACTATAAAACTTTTCTTATATATAGACCAAAAAGTTTGAATTAAGTTCAGCGGCTGGAATGTATACTTAAACACCATGTAAAATATTAAATAATGTTTAAATTTGTTACAAATTATGATAGAAATCTTATCTATGATGTAGTTTATTAACTTCAAAAATTTTTAATTATTATGCCTCGGACAAATGAATTCAAATATTTGTTTGTATTATTTCTTGAGTCGATGCAATTAATAATTAAATAATTGTATATTTATGTAATAAATATTCTACTGGTATGTATGAGGAACGAATTAAAATGATAAATTAAAACGATTTATTATTATTTATTGAGTCAGGATTTTAAAATTTTAATTTGATTTGATCTGGATTTGATTCCTTGGATTATATCACATGTTTCTAAGTCATGTGATCAGATTTTTTTTTTGTTTATAAGACCATTTTAGAAACTTCTCTTATAACTTTAAATTTTTATTTGAGATGTTTCCGAAATTCTGAAATTAAATATGTAAATTCGGCCAGAATTACGCACTTAATTCCAGCAGGAATTATTGAATTTCGATTTTTGGCTGGAATTACGGATTCTTCTAAAATTATTAATTAATTTCGGGCGGAATTATGAATTCAGCTGAAATTATGAATTAATTTCGGCAGAACAAATCACCATCTTTAAATAGACTGGCCAAAATCAATAATTGATTTCGTAATGTATATAATATAAATCAGATCCGGGATAAAATATGGATTAATCCGGGATAAAATATAGGTGTATCTGATCTTGTTATAGTATGATTTTGTAAAATAGTATGTAGTTTATTTATTTTTTTTTTTTACAATTAGTAACGCGTTTATTGATTTAAGTAATTTATACAAAGAGCAAATTACATAAATTTCTAAAACACTTAGAAAGCAAATTAATAAATAATTTACCCTCTATAACTAAAGGAATTGAACAAAATGAAATTTTCTTTTTAAATCTAACTAAATTGTGCTTGATCTAAAAATTATTGTTCACTACGCTACTAACTAATCTAATTTTATGATGTTTTTGGTTTTTTTAATATTTTCTAATTTTAGAGGCTTTGCACTATTATTATTGATCACTAAACGTAAATCTAAGAATAAAACAAAAACTAAACCTTGACAAAAAATAAAAAATAAAAAAAATTTTTACATTAAGAAAAATGAACAAAAAAACTACACTGTTGCTGGAAATACTCAAAAAGCGCCCAAAGAGTTCAATCATTTAAAAACGTCATTTTTTAGTCAAATCCAAGTGTCGTCCTAAGCATTATCCTTAAATTTTGTTAAAATTTTTAAAGACAAATTTGTTTATTCGCTATCGGAATCTTCTCTTTGTTTTTGCGTCGTCACTAACCGCTTTTTATTTTTGTTAAGATTGTCCTTGTCCTCTTCTTCTTTATCTCCTTTATCTACCGCTTTTCCTTTTCTTTTTCTTCTCTGACAAGCTTGATCTCTTATTTACTTCCTCTAATCTTTCAGCAAAATTAGAATTTAAATTGTCAAATTCCTCATGTTCCTCTGTATTGTTGATAGAGGATCAGATTGGGCGTCAACAAATTTATTCTTAGAATTTGTTTGCGTTGGCATCTTGAATCTGTTCACTCCAAATCTCTTCTTGTACGTCCATTAACTCGTCTTGACTTTTCATCTGAAGTCCTTTACCCATTTCATCGTCCATGGTCGACTTATATATAGCCTTAAGTAGATCACTTTCATTGTTAAAGTACATCAAAATATATTTTACTTTGTTTACCTTGATTACTTTTGAAAAATGTCCACCATACTTTAAATTGAAAAGTTTTAATAACACATGTTCTATTTTTGTACTTTCTTCTTCATTTAACTTTTTATAAGCTTGCCATTCTTATCTTTTCTTTATTGCTGTAGCGTCCATTTTGGCGTCAAACATCCTAAAAAAATAGTACCGATCATTTTTTGCTATGGCTATATTGGATCCTCCTTTCAGAAACTTTTCCTCCATTTCTTTTGTCAAGCGAATCCTAGCCCGCACGGTTCTATATTTATAATTCAATTTGACTTCTAGTCTTTCTACGTATCCTACTTTCTTTAAAGTTTCATATATATCATTGTCCTTCCAATATGCTGGAAAATCGTAAAACTTAAGATCACGTGATTGTTTGGCAGTAGTTTACGTTTTTTGTTAGTACGTATGATTTTAAATCGGACAAAAGAAGTTTGGGTCCGCGGGTAGGCTTCTCCTTCCCCTGGATGACAGATTTATGTTGAACTTCTTTCTTTAATTAGTTAGTTTTGTTCTTTTGATGATCCTGCCATTCTTCACATAAAATAAATAAGATTTTAAATCGTACGTACTACTTTGATTGCTAAATATAGAAAAATTGTAGTGAAAAAAAAATAATACATACATCGCCATACACTTTTTCAACCCCTTGAAGTCCTATGCAATTTCTTTAAAATATGAAAATAAAAATTTAAATATTTTTATTTGTTATACTAGCATGTCATTATTTATGTGCATTCATCTTTAAATAAATAAATTATAAACACAATCATATTTAAGCTTTTTCATGTTCTTTATTAAATTTTAAATTTTTAATTTTCTCGCAGAACTTAAGTGAAAAAAAATTGAAGCTGCAAAATACTAAGTACCTATAAAAAAAATTAACATAGTTATAATAAGTATTTGTAATCGATAAACGGGCTAATTAATTTTTTTTTTAATTTCAGTAATAAAATAGCTATAGGATTTCTTGCCTACATTATAATCCTAATACTTTTTCTTTACTAAATTAGCCAATTCTAAAGCTTCGATAATTTCTTTTACATCTGAGAGAACTATTTCCATTTTATTAATTATTTATATTTGAATTTTTTTTTATAAAAAAAAAAATAAATCTCGTATTTTAATATATTGTGTAATTGTCTTCTGTGTAACCGTTGATCAAACTTCGAATTATGTGTTATTTGTATGTAATAAAAAAATTTATGATAAAGTATACATACAAAGTAAAAATTCCACAAACAAACTAACTTTTATACTGTATATACTCATATTAATCCAGGGTATGGTAATTAGGTGTGATGTAATTTTTGGTGAAATTTAAGGAATTAATCCGGGATAAAATTTAGATCAGATCCGGGATAAAATATGGGATAAAATACAGGAAGATCCGGGATGGAATATAGGGAAATCTGGGTTAAACCCCAGACTTTTGATGGCGCTTCATAACCAGGGCGTACAAGACAACAGTTCCAAACGTCGTACAAGAATCCAAAAAAAAACTGAGGGTAGAAAACTTTCCGAAATCTAAATCAGCTATGTAAACGTAATCGAAAATGGGCGAAGATTCCTCTCTCGCCCACGCATCCAATACCTCTTTACTGGATCTAACTTCAAAAAATTTTGAACAGGTCATGTTGATTTTAATTTCCACCTTCACAATCCTCTAATTAAACTAAAAGAGAGACTTTATATTCTTATTTTGAACATCTTTTACACGAAATCATGTAAAGTCTCCTTTTCCAAGGACGTTAGCCTAACTCTCTCGAAAATTAAATCCAGACCACCATAAGAATAACGATCCACCGTAGCTACAGAATCCCAAGTGTTAAGCCTACAATCTAAATTTTTCTCGTGATAATTGCTGCGGTCATTTGTCATCAGGTTCCGGCAAATTATTTGCCGAATATTGTACCACAATATCACGACTGTGCTGAATTTTACTACGGCAATTGTAAAAAAACAAGGCAACGAAAATTCCAAAAGACCGAAAAAAAACCAAAGAGCAAAAAATCCTCAAAATAAAGCTAATAGTCGTCTTTTTTGTAGTCCTAAACCTCGGTTACTTCTTCCTCTTAAGGCTTAAGCGCTGACATTATGACATACACCTAGCCCTCCTTGGCCCTTTTTTGGGTTTACACTTTTGGCAACGCTCATACATTAATGTGAAAATTTTATATCTACGTGTTCGTAAAGGAATAAATAAACAGTTCGTGATGTCGAAATGCGTTAAAAATGTAAACTCTACATACTTTTTTGAACTCTTCCACTTTTGTTCCGTCCTAATATTTTGGACGTGAAAAATTTCCAACTCCATTTTTACGATTCATAAACTATACATATTCCGCCGATTTCTGTTTTATTAATATTTTAAGATTTTTCAATTAAACAACTTTGTCAACAATAAATTAATTTTGTAAATTTTCCGAATGTATCAATTATTTGATGCAGAAATTTCTCAAAAAAAATCTCACATTAGTTTTCTCAACAAAAATCTATATCAAAAATTTAAATGGATTTTATTAAAAAATTTCCATAGATTTTATAAAAAAAATTTCTCATTAAAAAAAGATTTTTAAAAAATGAATTTTATTAAATAAAAAGATTTTATATTAAAAAATCCTACAATAAATCACTTTTAATTTGACTTACCGGAAAATTATATTGTAAGTTTATTTATTACAAAATTAGGTCCTAATTCTTCAGTCCTATGATTATAGTAAAATTAAAACACTATATAAAAAGAATTTTTTTTTTATTACTAAATATATTGTAACATAATTTAATTTAATAATAGAAATGAAAATAATACAACATAAAAATCCAAGTAAATTTTTGGAATATAAATTACTTAATATCTGTTATTTTATTTTTTATATTGATTTTTTTTAAGTAAGATATTACAAATTAATAGTCCAATCATTGATTTTTGTTTATTAAATTATTGAATATTAATAAGGTTATTATCTATTCATTAAGTATGACAAATTTGTTAAACGCAAATTATATCTGAAAAAAAAAAAAAATAAATAAAAATAAAAAACGAAAAACGTAAATTATTGTAGTAATATTTTTCTTGTTTTGGTTATGAGGCGTAAAATATTACGCCTCAAGGTCACAAAATTTATATGGGACAACATGAAATTTTGATCAACAATTTGCATTTTACTTAATTTATCAAGTGAATGAACTTAAATAATTCATTTATTCTTTCTTTCTTATTGATTACATTATGTCCACCCTTCGATATGAATTAATTTATGCAACAATTAATAGAGCAACAATGCTAACAGATACTAATATTTACAATAATATACACAAACAATTTGAATTTCAAAAACAAACAGCCCTTGCTGATAAAATTCTTACAAATGATGAAAAAACTTATGCAATAAGATGGTTAACTAAAGGTTATGATCGAAATAAAATTTTGTATGATGATGGTACAAAAAGAATTTGTGAAAATTGTAAGCAAGAATGTTTAGCCACATTATATTGTGAATATTGTGTTCGAAATTATTTAAAAGAAGATTTTTCAAATTGGACATCTGGAAATGATGTTATTGATAATTTAATACAGAAATGTCAAATGGAATCACTCATGCCAAATATGGTAGTTGAATGGATCCCATATAGTAATTTAGAAAATATTAAATATTTAACAAAAGGTGGATTTTCTGAAATTTATACAGCAGATTGGGTTGATGGAAGATATGATGAATGGAATTTTGGAAAAAAACAATTAGAAAGAGGTGGAACCATTAAAATAATACTTAAAAAATTAGAAAATGTTGAAAGTGCAAATCAAAGTTGGTTTGAAGAGGTTTGTATTATTGTATTCTATTTTTATAAAATTGTTGTAATTTTTTTGTATTAACACTAGTAGTATTTTTACAAATTAATATCTTTTAGGCTAAATCACATTTAACTATAAGTAATAAATGGCCGGATGTTGTTCGATGTTATGGTTTAACGCAAAATCCATCAAATGGAAATTATATGCTTGTAATGATGAAAATGGATATGGATTTAAGAAAATATTTACAACAAAATCATAATCAACTTACATGGAAAGATAGAATGAAAATTATTTATGAAATAACTCTTGCACTTTATTATATTTATAAAGAGAAAGCAATTCATAGAGATTTGCATTCCGGAAATATATTATATTCTCAACTCAATAATTCTTGGTGTGTTAGTGATCTTGGATTTTGTGGACCTGCAGATAAATCTTCAACAAGTATATATGGAAATCTTCCTTACATAGCACCCGAAGTTATTGTTGGAAGAGAATATACTTTTGCATCTGATATTTATAGTATTGCAATTCTTATGTGGGAAATTTCATCTGGTCAATCACCATTTATAAATTATGAACATGAAAATGATATTGTAATGAATATTATTAACGGTATAAGGCCAAAAATTGTGCCAGGAACTCCATTAGAATATAAAAATTTAATGAAAGAATGTTGGGATGCTGATCCATTAAAAAGACCTAATATTTATGAAATTAGGAAAAGGATAAAAAGAATTAATTTATATTATCAAAATATGTCAGATGAATTATTCAAATCAGAAATGGATAATTTAGAAATGAATAAAGTAGAAGAAAATTATACGAGTAGCAGATTATTTACAAGTAAAATTCACAACTTTGGAAATCTACCTGAACCAAGAAATGCAACAGAAGGTAAAAGTGTATAATATTTTATTAATGAAGTGTATTTATTTTAAATTACAATATTAATGTTATCTTTTTTATTATAATAGAAGAACAAGAAGGCATAATCATATAAATAATAATTTCTACCATTTTTTGGTTACTATAATAATTTAGTTTTTAAAATACTTTAATTTATCCAATAATAGGGTTTCATAGTAAATTGTATGATTTTAACATTCCTAACAATAGTAAGTATTTAATAACATTATAGCGTTGAAATATCATATAATGATGCTTAATAATTAATTTTTTTTAGTTGACGACTTTAATAAATCAAATGAGCAGAATAGTAGCAAATCATCAAAAGTAATTACTATTTTTAGAGGTAATATATTTTAATTATTGTCAAATCGAGATCGATTTAAATATTAATTCTAATATCTTAATTTTTAGATAGTAGTAAAAAATTATCTAAATTATTTAAAAAGTTGCAAATAAATTCAAATAGTAAGTAAATCACTAACAAATAAAGTCACTATATCAATTTAATTTATTAAACGCGACTTTTATTTAAAATTTAGATGACGAAAAAGAGAAAACTCAAAAATATGTCGATGGTAGGTGAAAATTTTATGTAATAACGAATGATTTTAATATTGTTTTAATTCTATTTATTTATCTTTTACAGATGATGATGAAGTATATAATAATCCAAACTTTCATTCAGAAGAACAAGATGAACTGGAAATTCCTGATGGTAAGCTCTTAAAATAAAGTAGAAAAATATAAATTTCCTTATAAAGCAAATAATTAATCTATTTTTTATCTTTAGATGGATTTTAAATTGTCTTTTGATGAATCAAATTTTAAAACAATATTTTTTTTTATATTTTAAATTATTATCGTTTATTTATTTATTTATTTATTTATCATGGATTATTTAAACACTAAGATTAGAGTAGTAAATGTTTTACAAAAATTCTTAGTTTGTAATTTAAATAATTTTAATAAATTTATTCAAATTATTAAATGTATAAATACCGTATGAATTAGTATACTATTTAAATTATTCAAATTTTTTAATGTTGTTCTATTATAATAAGAAAAAAAATTAATATTTCGATGGTAGTAGCTAAAGTTTATATTCGAGTATTCAATAAAATTTATTTTTTACAAAAAAAAAAAAATTAATAAAAATTAATAAGCAATGCTTTGTTTAAGATTGGACATAATATTACGGCGAGACGGTGAGAGAAAATCTACATATCATTCGGCTTTATCTTTATCCTTGCGTATTATATGTACAAAAACGTGGCTTTATAACTTAAAAGTGATTTATTCGTAAGTCATAAAGTGAATATGAAATTAAAAGCACGGAGTATAGCGATTGCTTTCAATAGGTAAATAAGTACGGGAACCTTCCCTGTAAAAAATCTCATCCGTGTTTTATCTTTCCATGTTTTTTCCGTGAATGTGTCATTTTCATGGAATTTATAGCCCTAAATCATGGAAATTTTCATCTCGCTAACACAGATATCCGTGAATGTATCATTTTCACGGAATTTTTACGGAAGACACGGAGAAATAATGGAAATATTCGGATAAAAATTTTTTATAGGGCTTTAAGCAGGAAGATAAGGAAGATCTTTCAAATTCAAAGAAATTTGCATGTTATTTTATAGTAACATTTTTTTCTATTTGCATGTGATATTTTTTCATGATTGATATTGCAGAAAAATTAAGTATTACATAAAAAGTTTGAAAGCAAAATTCTTTGTTTTATATTTTCATAAAATAATACGCGAGAATAAAAAATGTAATAATGTTAGAGGTTATTGTTTAGAGCGTTCGAATAGATAAAACGAATAACGTAATAATGTAAATAATGTAATTTTACATATCCGAGTTTTTGAAGATTTTGGTAATAGCTTAATTTATGGCTTAAGTAGTTAAGTGGCTTGTACAATCACGCGTCTGGATGACTAATCAATTGTCACATTGTCATCTGACACGAATCACGCGACTCGCTCGACATCAACATAAATAAATACGCGCTTTAAATTCCTAACTTGTATATCAATATCATTCTCCTTCCTTAAAATAAAAATACAAAATAAAAAAAAAAATGGCAAAGTTATATAACGATATACTTCATTATATTTTTCAGAAATTAAATAATGATGGAAGTTCTTTACTTTCTTGTTTATTGGTTAATAAACAATGGTGTGAACTCGTCATCCCAACTTTATGGAAATGTCCATTAAAATATTTTGAAATCAATAATGATTATTTAATTAGTAAAAGAAAAAGAATTTTATTAAATATAATTCTAACACATTTATCAGAAAAATCAAAACAACTTTTAATCTTTCATAATATCAGTATCATTTCAAAGGAGGAACTTAATAAAAAACTTTCATTTAATTATGTTAGATTTTGTAAACATATTTGTGTTCATAATTTTTTATTAAATCAAGATATTTATGGAGGTTTTTTAAGTGTCTTTCAAATAGTTTTATTAGAACAAGAAATTTATAAACTTTTTGTTAGTGAATGTTCAAATATAAGATACTTGGATTTAGGGGAAGTAAGACATGCAATATATCTATTTCCTGGAGCGGAAATTTGTTTATTAAATCTAAATGAAGTTGATTGTAAATCATGTTTAGAAACATCATTATTTTATGGAATGGCACATATATGTAAATTAATAGAAAAGATTTATATAGAATTTAAATATGACAACATTGGACTTGCTCAACTAATTAAATCGCAAAAACGAATTAAATATATAAAGGTAGAAGAGATTACAAATGAAGAACGTGAAAAAGATGATATTGTTAAGGCTTTAGAAGAACATGCAGATTCAATAATTTATCTAAATTTATCAATACAAAAAACTTTTTCATATATTTTATTCCCAAAGTTTGTAAATTTACAAACTTTAATATTATCTGAAAGAATGTATGTAGAAAATGAAATAATGATGAAGAATTTATCAGTTGCGACATATCCTAAACTTCAAATACTTGAACTTGAATATATATCAATTCATATAGCAATAAAGATTATTCAAAATACAGGAGGAAATCTTTGGAAAATTAAAATTAGAACCATCAAAATCACTCATTCTAGAGAATATATTCAGGCAATTTATAAAAATTGTCCATATATAAAATATGCTTCAATATATTTAAATAATCAGAACTTGGATGAATTGGAAATTTTTTTAACTAAATGTCAACACTTGGAAGCAATAGATGTAATTGTAATAAAAGGTGATGACAAATTAAAAAGTTGTAAATTTTTAGATTTATTGTTAAAATCGGCACCAAATAATTTATACAAAATTCATATTGATTATAGATATTTTTCTATAAAATCCTTGAAAAAATTTTTTAATAATTGGAAAGATAAAAAAACTTTACATCTATATGATCATACAAGTAATTGGAATTCATTAATTAATAAATACAATATGAAAGGAGTAGTTGGACATATTGATTGTAGAGGTTTTTGGGATGATGATAATTCTACGGGTATTATATGGAATGATAAATAAATTCTTTATAATGAAAAAGGTCTTTTAATTAAATCTGTATACTTTGCGTGAGAATTACTCGTCACATCATGTGGGGATTGCTTAAATTCAATAATAAATTTTTTTTTTTAAAAAAAAAAATAATAATAATGTACTGTATATCAAACAAATATCTCGTTGTAACGTTAGTAGTAAATGCTAAAATAATATCTAAAGTTTATTTTGATCCTTTGCGCACATATTATCTATCGTTCATTTTATCGTGACAATAATTAAAGACACGTATTCAATTATCCAGTCTCCCAGGTAAAAATTTTTATTCTAAGTTTAAACATACGGTAAAATTATCGAAAAATAGTAACAGATAACGTCCTAAAAAATTTTCACTTTCAAAGAGCTTTAAAAAAAAAGACTAACGATACGTGATTTGCTGTGCTACCAACAATCTAGTATACTAAGATTAATTGAATTATAGTATACAAGATCATATTTAACTGAATTAACTGAATTAATTACCAATGACATCTATACTACATATGTAGATATCACCAGAACAACGAACAAAATAAATGATTATAATAAAATCTAATTTATAAAGTCGCCCATGTTTTTCTTTCATCAAGCGATGCTGTACGTAAATACTGTCAGGTATAGAATGGTATATTCAAAAAGGTCCGATATTGTTTTTGTTCATGATTTCCAAATCTTAATCTTCATGATTTGGGGAAACCGTTTCCGCGCGCGATGATCAGAAATTGTCATCAGGAGGAGGGGTTCGTCGTAAGAATAAATCGGGTTGTGCTAATAACGTTTGCCGATGTCTGAAATGATAAATGTTGTGCCTTCAGAAGTTTTAGCTGTAACATCATCAATGATAGTAGATGTCACGGCCGTCTTCGGGTCGGTGATATATTAGTACCATTTCGAATTTCGATCGATCTCTAAAATTAAGTATATTTTGAGAAGAATAAACTTTAAAGCATTTTCGGACTTCAGGATCAAAAGGTTAATATTATGACAATCTCTATAGTAGTATCAGGAACGGAGGAAGATTCTTATTGCATCTAAAAGAAACAGGTTTAACTCATAGAAAGATTCTTGTTTTAAAACAAGGCGCGTTAAACGATTCCATCGTTCTTGCTGTTGTTTAGATCTGAAACGTAGCGTGAAATATTCCTTATAGCATAATCGACGATATTCGGTTGGATTTTCATATGTTTGTCAAGATGCTCTTGTATTTAATTAAAGGTCGGAGATTGAAATTTTTTAATCCTGATAGTGTAATTAATACCGTGTGAATTTCTTTCACTTTTCCTTTTCTGCCTTTATTACAGAGTCTTCTAAGCTGGTCTCTAAAATCGAGGGTTATTTGGTATTTGACGTGTTTTGTGAGGTGAAATTAAATCATGTTCATTGTAACGCCATCGGTTAATTAAGCTGCGGTAGATCACAAGGATCATTCATAAATAAAATCCTAAATAGATATCATATGAAAGTTTCGGTTTTTTTTTTGGCGAATTAATCCTATTTCTGAGGGCGTACAATTTTTCTTGCAGAAGTTGGCGTAAACGACAAAAGTATTTGTCCATTAAGGGAAAAAACGTTAGTGATGTAAATCCCTAAAAGGAAATCGAGGGTTGGGTTGTGGATATAAATGTATGAAGGTGATCATATGTCGTCTGTAAAATGATTGGTGTTGAACAGGTAGTAATGGTAGTATCTTGATTTTTTAGTATTTTACAGTGTTACACTTTACGTATGGCCGCAGTCGGTGTATAGAGAGTGTCAAAGGAAAAGTTATGCAAGGTTTGTAAAGTCGTAATAGGTAAATAAACGTCCGACGAAGAAGGGTGTTATATTTGTTCCAGAAATTTCGGGAGAGGCTGTTAATATCACGTGTTATATTTATAAAATATGACTTACCAATTACGATTATTCGATTATTCGATTTGGTAACGTGATCTCAAAAAAAAAAAAAGAAGAATTTCTTTATCATTATTGACCAAGTTTGGCTAGTTGACTAGCTACTATTATATCTATAGACTTTTTTTATCAGTTTTTTAAAATAGAAAATGAGCTTAAACAAAATGATTAGATCATTTGATGGTAAGTGCGTAATTAACATATCTGGCGTATTAATTTGTGACACAAAAAAAAAACAATATAAAATACGTATACTTTTTTAACCTTTTGAGTTTTAGATTCAAAATTTTCGTTTTTTTTATTAAACTATTAACAAAATGAGCAACCAACAGTACGATGGACTGTCAAACTTTTTAAAAGAATACACTAGAAAATATGGTCCTCCTATTGATAATATTAATAATTATAAAGGCCAAAGAACCTTAAGGAATAGAAAATATATGAACTATACTGGTGTTAATAACTTTACTCCTCATAATCAAAGACAATATGGAGAAAGTAGTTCCAGTGTTGATCAGTTTAGAAAAAATAAAGCTCCTGGCAGTGTCCTCAGATGTGAAACTTCTGGAAGGAGTTCTATTAGTCCTGTAAAGTATGAAGCTCCTATCAGAAATGAAACTTCTAACAACAATTCTATTAATCGTATAAAATATGAAGCTCCTATCAGAAATGAAACTTCTAACAACAATTCTATTAATTACATAAAATATGAATCTCCTATCAGAAATGAACCTTTTAACAACAAATCTATTAATCAAATAAAATATGAAGCTCGTATAAGATATGAAGCTCATAGCAGACATGAAACTTCTATCAACAATTCTACTAATCGTATAAGATATGAAGCTCCCAGCAGACTCGAAACTTCTAGCAACAATTCTACTAATCACATAAAATATGAAGCTCCCAGCAGACTCGAAACTTCTAGCAACAATTCTATTAATCACGTAAAATATGAAGCTCCTATCAATGTCCTCGGAAATGAAACTTCTCGCAACAGTTCTATCAATCGTACAAAATATGAAGCTCCCAGAAGTGTCTCTACAACATATGGAACTCCTGGCAGTGCTTATGGCATTTCAATAAATTATGGAACCTCTCACGAAACTCTTGCAAGTAATTCTAAAAATTGTGAAACTCTTGCAAGTAATTCTAAAAATTATGTAACACTTAAAAGTAGTACTAGAATTTGTGTAACCCTCGCAAGTAATTCTAGAAATCGTAAAACTCGTGCAAGTGATTCTAGAAATTACGAAAATCTTGCAAGTAATTCAAGAAATTGTTTGGAACAAGTAGCTTTAGTAACTATGAAACTCTTGCAAGTAATTCTAGTAACTATGATAATTATGAATCTCCTGTCAGTTCTAGGAATCATAGAACTTTAACTGGTGCTAAAAAAACCGTAAATCTTCTTATAACGATAATGGTCAACAAATACAAGGACGAAATATAGGCAATAGTAAATTATGATGATCATTTTATTACACTACCCGAATATGAACCAGTCGAAAATATAACCGATCAATTTAATAATTTTGATGATCTATTGTAATTGTATGAGAGAAAATTTATGATAATAAAAACAAGCAAATTTAATTTTAAAGTTTCAAGAAACGATCGATTAAAATCAATTGTCTTTTTATTGTTGCATATTTTCACATATAATAATACGATGTATTGTTTATTATAAGAAAAAAAAATTATTTTACTTGTTTATGAAATATATGCCCCTGGCTTTTTTTTTATAATGCTCATGAAAAAGTATTTATGAAATCAGGTTTGACTTTATGGTTTATGTTTGATGTGCTTCACAATGTTGAAATTCATGCAATGTAAGTGACATCAAACTTGAAAAATATGACCCGCTATCTTATATTTGGAAATACAGATGAACTTAAATGTGCAGAAAAATGAACGACTGAGGCAACGATCAAATCTGCCTATGATCACGTTTATGTTTACGGGTTATTTAAAAGTCACTTTAATATTAGCTTATAGGGCAAAAAAACACGTAGATGCGTTGTTTATTATGTTTATTATAAAATCGATTTTATAGATCGGCTCGACTCAATTCGACCACTTCGTTATTGAATGAGTGTTGTTATGTGCCACTGCGTAGCACTCATTATACCAAATGAATCAGATGATACTAAATGATATCTCACTATTTTAAAATTCTAAATTTATAATCCTAAAAAATAAAGCTTATAAAAAATTTTATTCGGTATTTCTGTAAAAACTTCGTAAAATGAGCCTTTCACGGATCCATTGACGGAAAATGAAAATAATTCGATAAATTCCGTAATATAAGGTTATTAATTCCGGAAATATGAGCCTTTTACAGAAAAAAGGTGAAATATAAAAAACGGATCGACTTTTTTTATAGAGCTTTAATAGTTTACTAACAATATAACAATAAATAAATAAATAAACTTTCTTATAAAGTACATACCACATCTTTGAAATTTGTCATTTATTTGATTTAAACAATGCTTACTTTTATATAAATAAGCGTATAAAATATGCATATATTTCCGAGGTCCTGTGGTTACTCTGATTCGCAAAGTAGGCGTGAATTGGGTTGTCCCAAAATCTCTGCTGGAAGGAATTGTTTGCGATTTTTTTTAAAAACATCATGGTACAAACGGTTTCTTATTGAGTATCTCCAGTTTAAGAAGACGAAAATCCTAACTGGTCTCAAGCTATGCAATACATTTTGGAGACAAACCACCAGAAAATGTTTCCCTTGCCATCATGAAGCAGCTGATGCAAAAAATACAAGTGCGTTATGTTATTTCCGTATTTGGATGAGAAGGCACCTATCGAACTTTGTTCAGAAGGCGAAGAAGTCAAACAGTTCTACTGTAGAAATGAAATATATTAAACAAATAAAGTTTTCAGAGATAATGTTGAATTTGAAAGTGTAAGTATTATATTGCGTTCAATGACGTGTAATTTTCATCTATTAACTATATACATTTTTTCTTCCAGAAAATCAGGATGTTCTCAAGATTCGCAGCAGAAGATTCAAATAATGAAATTGATGCTGCTACTGAACGAGATAAAAAGAGAAAAGAACTCGATAAAGATAATGAATATACCAGCACGCCCACTTGAACGAGAACAAAAATGAATATTGAAAGTGAAGCTCAAGGCGAAGAGGAAGATTATGATGAATACGTTATTGCTGACAAGGAAAAGATTGCGCTTTGGACTGGCAACGATCAAAAAAGAAGAAAACCAGAATCGCTTTTAACAACCCCATAAGCCGATTAATGTTTGATGTGTTATTTACAAAAGTTACAGTATACCTGGGTATGAGGTACTCAGAGATAGCAGATGAAATCGAAAATCATGAGTGAGAACAGAAAAAGCTATCTAGATTGGGAGTAATTCTTACGAAGTGGTTACATGTAGCTCTATCATCATCATCCAGTCCAGAGAAGCTACTTGAAAGTCTTATGAAGCTATTGCAAGGCGAACATGTCACAGACCGAGAAAAGAAACTACACGATATATTTGGAATGACATTGAGGGAATTTTACACTATATCAAATTATAATCCAGGATACAGTTTCCCCAGAATTTATTGATGATCCAACCGGTGAAGTGACATCAAAGAAGGTTGATGCACTAGCTACGGACCTCAAACACCGATGTAAATATTCTCATTATGTGCCTCCGAAAATATCTTTGCGCTAGTATTAATACTGCAAAGAAGTTAAAATCATACAGTATACAAATTATTGGTAATGCAATTTTTTTTTCTTTGACACATGTTGACATTAATATGATAATAATCTTCGTCCTTTTACAAAAGACCGAATCACGCTAATAGAAGTATCACTATACAAACCACGGGTTTGCAAAGAAGTTGAGGTTAGAAGTGCTGTCTTTCCATTCACATTGTATATGCGTGATTTTGAGCTTGCGTCAAATTATGTGGTATGTACATTTTATTTGTATGATCCAATTTTATTATATTAATTAACTATATGAAATTTTAGGATGGATTGCTCAGCCGTTAAGAGGCCATGCAAGAACTGTATATGGAAACTAATGGAGTAAAGGAGGTAAACTCAGAAACTTTGAAAGATTGGTGGATAGCCATACGTTATATATATTTTTTCGCTATATTTTTATAGTATTTTACAAAAACCTTTAAAGACAGAAAATTGATATTTGCACCTCGATCAAAATAATGATTTTATTTTTTATATACAAGTTAATTTTTCATTTAAGATTAATACACACATTTTATCGTGAAGCTTTTCTCTGTTACTTTTCAAAACTGGATATAAATATTTTTTTTATTATTACATATAACATACATGTGTAGAAATTATGCGCGATAATGGGCGAACTTTTATTAAATTTTCAGAGAAGTGAAGAAGCAATTGAAATATATGATGCTATCAAAGAGGGAGGGAGCAGCGCCTAGTGCCACCGTTATAACGACATCCCATTATAACGATCTTATTATAACGACAATTAGAAATAATTTACTAATTGCCCGAAGAGTGTCGTTATAACGGATGGTACTTGTATTATTTATAATATTTGATACAATTTATTAGCTTAATAAAAAATCGAAAAATTAGTACTTTGCCACACGGTCATTAATAATAACACAGAACTTAACCAAATGAAGCCGAATTTGGCTTTCCCTAAGTACAAGTTTTATTTTGTAATGACATAATAATAGTTTAGCGATATTTTCATTTAACAAGTAAGATTTAATAAGCAGTGTTACATACGAAAATATATACACAACAAAGCACAATACCGTAACAAACATACCGTACATTATTTTATTATTTTCGTTTGAAGCACAAAAAATTTTATTATTATTATTTTATACAGGGAAACTTACCATAGTTTTTAGAGAAATATATAATAAACATTTCCAAATGTTCATTATATCATTTCCAAATAGATCAAAGAGTAACTTTCATTATGAAACTTCCCGTGATTCCTGTTTTTCTTCAGTATGATTTTATTTATCGTGATTTATTGTGAATCTTAAGTTGTGATCTAAACTTTTAAAAGATATAATAACAGGTTTCTTATTATGAAAACTTTATAAACTTATTTGTCCAACAAAGTGATAAAGTGTCTATTTATCCAAATATCAAAAAAAAAAATTGACAAAAAAAAAAATAATAAAAATTAGTGGCTTAGCATCAATATAAAAATGGTCTAATCGCCGATCATCGTATTTTTTAAAGTAATTGTACGACACGATGAATATTCCGAACTTTTTTTATGTAGACTTAACTATTAATAAACTTGATTATCAATAATATTTTAGCAAATTAATGGATGATAAATATCATTTAACAAAATAATAATTGTTTTTATAAGATATTTAGTTGAAATGATCCATTCAGAAGAAAATTAAGTCAATGAAATAATCGCAAAAAATCCATTTTATGTGTTAAGTAATAAATATTCCAAAAGTGATTCCATCAAGTCGTAGATCTCATAAAGCAGTATTAATTGAAAAATATATGGTTATAATTTTTGGTAAATATAATATTAATGTTTAATGGAAAAACTTATTTATAATTATGTATTAAAGGTGGACATCATCTTTTGCGCCCAATAATAATACAGTAAAGTTTCGGACGAAAAAATCTTATTTTACTGCGATTTGATTACGTGAATTATTTTTTTTACGTATTTAGAGTACTTGATCGATATTTTTTGTAGTAAGAAACATTTTTTTAAAAAAAAATCGTTAAATTACTTTTATTTCGTTTCAAAAAAATAAAAAAAAAAATTTCAAGACTAAATCCTTAGAAATTTATAGCTAAAATAAAAACTAGTCAAAAATACTGTAATTTCTATTTAAGCAATTCGTAAGAGTGAATTTTAAGAAAAGAATTAATAACGTCCGTGACCATGTTTGTGACCATGTTTGTGACCATGTTTGTGGCCATAACCATCGTGGTCATCATAATCATTACGTTTTCCTGTGAATGCGTTAATTTTTACAATTATTAAGTAAATAATATAGTTAATTATATAAGATACAAATGATACAATATATTACTTACTAAGTTTATCATAACCACCATAATTATCATGATCATGATCACCATAATCATTGTGTCTTCCTGTAAATACGTTAAATTTATAGTAAATAAATTATATATGATACCATATATTTAAATTATGATTTTTTTTATACTTACTAAGTTTACGTTTATCGTAACCACCATAATTATCATGATCATCATGATCACCATAATCATTACGTCTTCCTGTAAATACGTTAATTTTTTTAATAAGTAAATGAATAATACATCCAATATTAAATCAGTATTAGTAGTATTAATTCCTATTAGTATTTCCGTGGTATCATCTTTTCTCAATTATTTAAATTAAAATTTCATACTTACTAAGTTTATGACCATAACCATCGTCGTCACCATAATCATTGGAACGTCTTTTTACAGAAGTTCCTTCATTTTTTCTTACAGTTGCTCCAAGGGAAAGCACGGCGAATAAGGCTAAAAAGAAGAGTACAAGATTGAATTGCATTTTGAGTTATTTTGTTTTTTTTTTCTTTAGATCTTATTTATTTTATTTTATTTTATTTTTTTTGATTTGAAGCACTTTTTGAAGGTTGAAACAGATCGTTTATATACTTGTCGCGAACTTATAAATTTACGATAATATTGTAATGAACACAGCCACGGATTAATTTTAAACAATAATTTTCTGCAAAAGGTGAAGCGAAACCTGTTAAAAATAGTTAAATGGTCATTAAATTGAAAATTTATTCGTATAATTATATACATTAATTTCGCTTAGATCTGAATTTGTTATTATATCTCCAAATAATCTATATATGGATTAATTTTGGCTTAGTATGAATTTTTATTCAAGGCTGAGGAAAATGTAATTAATTTTAATAACCACATTTAGGAATTTTATTGTTGATTCGAAGTAACGTAGATTGGCAAAGTGCGGAGTTACTATAAAATCACGTGATTCAACCAATTTTTTTGTCATTTCACTTTTAGAAAATACTTTGTTTACTCTTTATCGCATAGCATCAAAAATACTATTTTTCAATTGTCACTAACGTATGATAAATATCCGTCAATTTTTGCATTCAAAGGTTATTATTGGTTCAAGAAAATATAATCACGTGATTTTCTTAACTCCAGTCAAAAATTACTGGCTTGAAATCTTAATTCTGACCAAGTTCTAAAAATTTACAGCAAGTAAATCACGTGATATTACATACTTTACATTTACTACACTTAACCAATCTACGTTACTCAATTGGTATTATTAGTAATAAATGGTATAAAATTTTTCATGCTAATTATGAATTTTACGATACCAAGCCTAAATCACGGGTTGACTTTAAATTTAATGATTTAACTTTGTATATTCTCCTTTAACTCAAATAAACGGACTCTTTTTGGAATAAACTCAGTTTAAAAAAGTACACTAACTTTTAATTCCTCCCTCATAGCCCCTAAGCTCGGGATTGTGTCATTATAGGGTCATTATATTGGCTTCATAAATATTTACCGTATCACAATACAATATTAAAAATATCTGTCAATGACCATTCTACTTTCAATCAAACAAAAGTTTTCTACTCGGTTGATTTTACACTTATTGATTTCTTCTAAAAAAGCACAAATTTACTATTATTAGATCACAATCTTCTTTAACTGTCTAATTTGAAGTTTTGCATTTTGATAGTTTTTAATATAAGATATTCCTTGAATTCTTAACTCCGTGCCATTTTTTTGAAATCGGTGATCTACATATGATATCAGAGTTTTTTGAGATATTTCATTGGCACTTTCACTTTTTAGAATAAATAATTCCTATTCAGGAACAACCATAGAAGCGAATAATATTACTATTGTTATATTAATTAATTTTTGAATATTAAGTAAATATAATGATAAAAGATGTAATATTTATTACATAGATTTTATATATTTTGAAATTGCATACGACGAATTATTTTTTTCGGCAGATTTTAACGTTATTTGATCAGTGTGTCGATCATTTCTACAAAACGAACACACACCGAACACAAAAAAATTATGCAAACTTGAAACCCTATTTTTTTTTATCATTTTTTAGATATGAAAAAAAAAATTTGAAAATGTGACCGAATAACCGAACACAAGTGAACAACATATATGTGAATAATATAATTTTTATACATTTTTTTTTAATGCATACTACCTAAAAATATATTACTAAGGTTTTATTTTTTTTTTTGTTTTATAAGGAGAAAAATTTTTTTTTTTTTTTCTTAATCTTTAATTGCCGTAATCGGTGTGTGTTCGAAATGATCGACACACTGTGTCGACATTTCGCAATAACTTTTGAAATCTTCAGATTCAATACTATATTTTTTATCAATAGTTTCTTAAATCAAATTAACTCGTTCATTCCTATATTTGTATTCCGCACTTGAGATATAATGAACTTAAAATAAGATGATAAAAAAGTAAATTAATTCAATCAAATTTTTGCAGCAAAAATTATCCGAGAATACATCCTTTCTTCAATTATAGTCGTAAATCCACATTAAAGCTTGCGTTGACCATTGGACAAAATTCAGGATGAAAATCCATCCTTCTTTGAAATATTATTAAAAAAAAGAGCAACTGAAAACGTCGTAGTACGAATGCAGCTGCGTTTAACCAGCAATTTATTAGAATTATATTAAATTTCCCACGTTCGTTCTCAATGCCGAATTAAAATGGTTGTTTATAATCTGTTGGGTCATATGAACTTTTAAACAAAAGGTCTGGCCAATCAAATTGCAACTGACTAAACTATTTTAGGAAGATCATGTTGTGGAATGGATACCTTTATTATGACATAATATTACGCATTTACGCCCAGTAACAATATCACCCGCCTTTTTTTTGTGCTAACCATACCAGTAATCAATACCATATTAAGATAATTGAAACAAAGATCCGTATTAATTCATTTTTTCTGAAATACAACCTTCCTATTTAATAAATTAATGAATATTAATAATTTGGTTTAGTCAAGAAATCAATTAATTTACTTATCCGGTATTTTATAATTGATTATGGTCAAAATATCATGTGTATCATGTAAAAGTTTGATGGTTACACAGGATAAATCACTTATACCTAAAGGTAGCTTATTGGGTAAATCAATTTTTGATTTGTTTGCCTATTAAATATTAAGATAATCCGGATTGATGTTTGTGTAGTTTTTATTTTATTCTGAGTCATACCGAATATTACCGAGTTTTCTCTTGGTATGGAGTAAAAAACCGTATACTATGAAATCAGCTGTAATTTGGGTTATAAAAGAAATACTTTTAAACAAAATATGAACAGGTGACACTCCGATGTAAATAAACTTAATAAAGTGGACATTTTTTTTCCGGACAGGTAGACATGTCTGGTTTTTTTTATAGGGTCGCTGGTAGACTGCTGGAAGCTTAAGGTTCGTAAGGAATGCGAACAATGCCAAGCAAGATTCACTATCCGGAAGGTAAAACTGGGGAAAGATTCTCATTCAGTATCATAACAACGGCATAACCTGAAGTAAGGTTGTACAAACTAAGACGGGAACATTTATTGTTGATCGTGTCATCGTGAATGTGTGTTTCCCGGTTCTTTCCTGAAATTTGAAATTAGGGAATGATATCGGCGCAGATGACTTTCGACTACCTCTTTTGGTAAAATTCGGGAGCTGCCGTGCTCAATCTGCCATCTTTGTTCTCATCCACCATAACAGTTAAACGCTTGTACTTCAAACCAAAGAATTTGTACTTCCCAATTAGACATTTTATCATTATCTTTACACATTTAGTTAATTTGTTTCATAAAGTTTTACAAACATTATAATACAAACGAACAACATGATATATTGTGCAAACAAAAAGAAATAAAGAATAAATAGCTTCCAAATTTTTTCCCAATTCAAATTAAAACCTACTTCCTGCTAGAATTTCATTACGTTAAAAATTGAAAACGTTATTTTTGAATCTTAAAATCTCTAAATTATGAAGGCACCAACTCATTTTATTATTATTAGCATAATCTTATCATTATTTTTTTATATCGGATTAGCAGAAGTTGTTTCCTGCCCAAATGCTGATAAAAATTGTTATTATTTAAATGAACTTTTAGCTCCTTGTGATTATAAGATTGATTTTAGTTATATATATTACTACTTTAGTGTGGGTGGTGGTAAGTTCAATAAACAAACAAGTAAATATAGTTATTATAAAAGTGATAATTAATACAAGCATACTTTTTTTTTTTAAGATAATTTTAGTGGCCTTGAAAATTGCAGTTGTACTAAAGAATTTTATGATACCCTTGTTACTTGTGGTAAATTTTGCCAATTTCCTGTCGACACTACAGTAAAATATGAAAGTGATTGTAAAATTGCTAAGCATCCGGTGGATCTCAGTGGAGGGTATGTTTTATCGCAAATAATTCTATTTGATGAAATTTTCTTATTATTCATTAATTCATTTATTTTAATTCTTTCTAGGAATCCAGCTCCAACAACAGGTGGTACATAGGTGGCCACGCTTCCAAAACAGGTAGTTCAAGTGGTGGTACACAAAATATTAGGTATACGGTATCTTAATTGAATATTAATTAAGATATAAGTTTTTAATTCATATATATTATTGTATCCAATATATTGCTTTATTTATTTTTTTTAAGTGGACTCATTCTTAAATTCATGTTGTATTGTTAATCATAATAATAATAATAAATAATAATAATAAATAATAATAGCCAACTATAATTATGATTATTATCATTAAAACAATAAAGATTATTGTTTTATTTTGGACAGTATATTCAGAATTACCATAATTTACTAGATCACTGTAAAAACCTTTGATGTTTTTAATAATACCTTTTATGTCTTTTTTTGTGGATATTCAATTAGTTGGAAATAAAAATTAGTGTTTTCTTCGCACATTAATAGTAAAGCTTTGTATATTTTTATGTTTCTAACAAATTTTTTGAATGGAATCAGGAAAGAATTCCGATCTATAAACCACTAAAAAAGAAAATAATTCGCTTAAACAGTTTATACTTTGCAATTCCTTTTTTTGGAAAGTGTGAGAATAATAAAAAAAGGAAATTGATCTGCACATAAATTTTAAAACTCTCTGAAAGTTTATGCCCTCGAAATTTCTAATAGATATTGGCTGAGGTCACTTTGATCGGCAAAATACTGAAATAGGTAGAAGGAGAATGCGTAGAATATGTAGGAAAAAAACAATCATGTAAATCTTTCCTTTTTTAGACAATTTTTGATAAATTTGGCCAGAATTTTATTTCCAGTATCATAATTCCGGCCCTGAAAAAATGCGTACAGCCAATAGTAATTTTTTTTGGTTGGACTAATATTTTTCGGGTCCTATTGTGATAGCTGATTTCATTTGATTCTTGAAACATCGCTGTTTCACAGTTCGTAGTAATTACTGACTCACAGCTCGTAATAATTATTCAACAACCATTTATATATATATATGGGGGAATTCAGGAAATTAATTTCCAAAGTAAATCCAAAAGTTTCATTAATATTGATGCGAAAGACTTAATCCTATGGCAAGTTAATATTTGTCGAAAGAATGGAATTTCTTAACGCCAAACATCCTTCTGATATTAACTTTGAACAAGAACTCGGGGTAAGGAGATGTCCTCTAGGGAAGACATTGAGTTTTACTTCCCTCAAGGTCCAATTGATGAAAATATCCACTTAATAATTGTGGACACCCCACCAGTCCACCACTGGTAAGTGTTTACCTCTTGAGCAAGAAATTCGTAGTATCTCACGTTCTATATATATATTTTTTATTCGATTAGGACTTATGAGCACTTTCCATTCCAATGAAACAACAAGCTGAACCTCAAGATTATAATAATCATAACCCATTGCTCCTTGTGTGAGAGAATTTTGGAACGAGCTTCATGCATAGAAATCAGGGGTTTTTTATATTTTTTTTTTAACACGTGTCTTCAAGATAAACAAAATTTAATTTTTTAATATTGTAGCATTCCCTCTCTAAGTGCATGTATTATATATTTTTTCTTTAAAATTTAAATTCATCCTCTTACTATGTCTAGACATAATATGAAACTTCTCTCTCTAAATGTACACTTCTCTAAATACACATTTTTTTAAAAATTTTCATTATGGTCGCACTTAGACCGTAGTGTTTAGCACATGAATTGAAATGACAAATGAATATTCTCAAAGTGACTGAGGTTAATGTTGCCCAGCACTATAATTCAATTTTTAGATTAAAATCATGTGATAAGTTGTCAACCAATCAAAATCAAATGATTATGAATAATGACTTTAGGGTATAAACAGAAAAATTTTATTGTGAATTTTTTATTAAAATCTTTAAAATATTTTTTATTAATACCATTTCTTAATTAGCCAATTTCAACTGATGCTCCTTTTTACAATTAGACAATTCCATTATATAAGGATTGGAATCGATTATCGAATCTTTGTAGATTCGATTTTTTGTTCCTTAAATGATAATTCATTTTAAGCTTTAATAATTAATTCCATGATTAGTAAATATATAAATTCTGAATTAAAATTGTAAAATCTATTAAGAAATTATATATCGTTACTAATACCCAACTGTAAATTAGGCCGGGCAAAAAAAAAAAAAAAAAATTTAGATTCTCGCGACCCCCGGCCGGGTCAGTTTTTCGAAAAATGGAAAATTTTTTTTTTTTTTTTATAATAAAAAAAAATGATTTGTAACATCTTCCAAATAGAAAACTCAGGCCAATAACAATTCTCAAAATGTATATAACAATCTTGATGACATTGAAATTTTTATCACGTGATTTTAAGTTTTTTGCCAATGTGCGTAAAAAAATTTTACATATGAAAAAATTTTACATACAGTATATAAAAAAAAAATGCCGGCTGGCCTTAAAATTTTAAATCTAAAAAATTTTTTTGCCTTATTATATATAACATCCGATCATTGCCGATCATTTCGTCATTTTTGAATTTTTCTTTTTTGAATCATGCATTTAATCTTTGAATGCAATGTTGAATTAATTTTTTTGTTTAATTTCAATTTTCTCTCCAACAAATGAGATTCGATTTTGATCCACCATTACACGAATTTTTTCTTCACGTTCCCTTAAAGCAAATTCACGTTCTTTTAATGCTAAATCATTTTCTCAATACTCAAGCTCTTTAAAATTTAAAGCCAACTTATTCTCTTTATTATTATTGTCTTCTTCACAATTACTTGGCTATAAAAATATATGTTCTAATATTTTATTATTATTATCTTTGATTACTCTAAATATTCATATAAAAATATCTTAATAAGATCCTCATGCGATATAATGTTTTTCGCGTGAAACAAATGAGCAAAGATAACATTTTAATAACTTTTATAAGTAGAAAATAATATTTTTTGTGTAAAACAAGTGGAGATAGTTATTTCTTTTGGGGGAGTAAAAATAATAATTAACGAGAAAGACTTTTTTTGATTTTATTATCGAGTATCAAATAAGACCCGAAATTTTTTCTTTTTTAATTTCCTCTTTCTTTTCAGTTTGGTTTTTTTTCCCAAACCAAAAATTATTATTATTTTTTTTTTTTTAAATAATCCTATCGGTCTTTTTTTTCTAGACCGAATTATTAATTTTTTTTTTTTGAATATTTTTTTCGGTCTTTTTGGACCCTTTTTTTTTCAGAATTTTTTTCGGTACATATAATTTCTTTTTTTCATATCTGCGGATCTGCGGATTTTGAACCACAAAATTGTCCCTAAAAATGGTTATTTGTACCACAAAACCGTCAAACAACCTCAAATAACCCTCTCGAAACCACCTAATACCAACAAAGCAAAAGGTAAAACCCATTATTCATGTCAAAAACCCATTATACCATTCAAGTAAAAATAATTATCGCTGGACATAAAGTTTAATTACAGACCATTTCTATTGCATATTCAGTTTTCACTTTCTTGTTTTTAAACACATAAAAAACTTATAAACTACATAAATTGCAACCATGCCATCAGCAACGCTTTCTTGCACTCAATTACCAAATAATTTTTTCTGTTCTACTTGTGGAAAAGGGTTCAAAAATTCAAAAGGTTTGACGAGACATAAGATAATTGTACGAAAATATAATCAAAATCAAGAACTTGACGAGTTACCATTTAATATCGTAGCAGAATTCAAACAGGTCTTAGTCTCGGAAATACATAAAAAATTATCTTTGAACTTTAGAAGTATGGGGAAGAAAACAATTTCTATACCATGCCCAGAGAGCCTTTTTTTTTCTATCTTCACCAGTAATATTCACTATTATTCAAAAGCAAAAAAAATTTCTAGGTGTATTTTTCGAGGATTCAATGCATATCAAGAATTAAGTGAAGTTTTGAATTCAAATTAATGGGAAAGAAGGTTTACTCGCAAAATCAAGAAACTTATGTCGTATGCTTAGATCCAGTTTCTTGGAATTCTTCTATAAACAGTCCTAGTTCTCAAAATCAATTAGATGATGATATGGATCCTCTCGAACAATTATTACAATCATCAATCAAAAATTGCAAAAGTAACAACCAAAAAAAGGCGACCACGATTTTTGAGAGGAGAAATTTTAATTGAATGGAAAAAAAAAGTATCAAAGGAAATTAATGGGTTTGTAAATATGGCGGGATACGTATATATTAAATTTTATATCGCGCAATCGCGAAATTTATCAGTTGTACAAACAATATAGTAAAAAAAAATTTTTAAAAAACAAGATGTAGATTTATATTTCAAATTTTATATACTTCGATTATAAAATTTATTATACTGTAGAGAACAACGCCGTGAAATTTAAAAAAAAAAAAAAAAAAATTTATAGAGAATAAAATTTTTTACAAAGTTGTTGATTAGACAAAAAAAACTGTTTTTTTGAGTAATTTTCTATGATCATAAAAGAATTTTATTTAAATTCAAATTCATTATTGTTTTAATTACATTTTAAAAAATTTTATTTTTTAAAAATAATTATTTTTATATACTAAATGTTATGTTAATAAAAAAAAGATAAAAAGGCCACCCATAACTTAGTTGTCCTTGTAAAAAAAATTATTACTTTTATTTGATAATAAAAGAGAACCAAAAGAACACTTCGGTAATTCTCCTAAAAAAAGAAGTAAAAATGGGCGTTAATGTCGTTTCAAAACATCGAAAAAAAATAAAAAGGACTACCCATAACTTGTTTCAAATCGTCTTGTTTACGAGAAGGTAAAGTTGTAAAAAAAAATCGGCATTTTTGTTAGAAAAGCACTATCAAGACGACGCATACGACCATGATGTACGATTTTTTTATGTTATAAAATTTTGGAGATTTTTTTTGCATATCCGCTAATCCACCGATCCTAAAAAAAAAAATTTTCGTGTCACTTATCAGCCCAATCAAAAATAAATAAACCGGATTTTGAACAAGCCAAATATGGTGTAACAAACAAATACATAAGTGTGTCCATTATGTCCACTTTTGAAGAAAACTTAGATGATATTTATAAATATGATACTGAATCTCTCATCGAATTTTTAAGAAACAATATCCAAATTAAAGAAGAATATTTTGATATTCTTCGCGATCAAGAAATAACTGGTAGTATCTTTTTCAAAATAACAGAAGAAACATTTCGAAGTTATGGGTTGAAAGGAGGTAAGTTTAATATTTATGGTAGCAGTTTATCCGCTGTTCCTCAATTCACACCGTCTTCCTTATCACTCACCAATGATGACGATGAATTGCAACAATGTATGAATGATATAAAACGTAAGTTGCGCAACTTGGGAACTTTAATTCCTGATAGTAACGAGGCAATGCGTAATGAGTATATTTCGGCAATTCTTCACGCTGCAATTCATATTGCCAGGAGAGAAACTGATAAAGAAATTAGTTTGCTTCCTCAACTTCAAATCGTGGGTGATGAAAATTGTGGCCGTGTTGATTATACAATAATATCACTTGAGGAACTGATTTGTATTACTGAAAGCAAGCGATACTTGGTTAATAAAGGTTTCATTCAAAATGTTATTCAATGTGAGAGTGCCCTACAAACTAACAGGAAAAAACGTAAGGCAGGTGTTGCTTTTTGGGATTGCGAATACCTTTATGGTGCCATTACAACAGCAACAGATTGGTATTTTTTATCATACAGTCCAGAAAAAATTTCATGTTCGTTTAAAGAACCAATCATGATCAAACTTTCCGAGAGACTGTTTTAAAAAATTCAGAGGAAGAATCAGACCTAAAAAAAAAAGTAAAACAAGTGTTGGAGATTATTGCTGGTTTATTGAAAGATAGGTTGGAGAATGAAAAATCAACAATTAAGAAACAAAAAAACAAATAAAATATTATTATGTATGATAAGAGTATATAGTAGAAAATACTGTATCCATTTATTTTTCTTAAAATAAATTTTTTAGTTTTATATCACGATTCCTGTGATTTCCCTTTTATGAATGATGTTTATTTAAAAAGATAAGCTAAAAAGTATCAATTTAAAAATGGTAGTCTCCGTGGTATAAATTAGTTATTTCACGGATCAGCCTTGATTTCATTATCATCACGGTCCCTTTCCTCCTTTTTTGTTTGGATGCAGATTTCGGTAGGAGAAAAAGTTTTTTTTTGAATTTATATGAAACGTCTACTAATATGTTTCTATTGTTTTTTTAGGTGACCGGGTCTTTGAGCAAGAATTTCAGTGAAGGAATACAAAATTTTATTTTGGAATTGTTTTTTTAGTGAAACGTTCTACTAACGTTTCGATTTTCGTTTTTTAAACGACCGGTCCCTTGGCACATATTTTCCGATCCGTTCCTACGTAAGAAAAAATGTCAAAAATATATAAAAAAACTTTTAAGACCTCTCCCAAAATATTTACCTCTTTTAACCCGAAGCCATTAGAAGGAGTTTCTAGAAAAAAAGGGAAAAAAATATTGTAAAATTAGTTTATAGAAAAACTTTACAAAAATCCAGAATATTTAATGATTTAACGAAAAAAAATTAACTGAAAAATAATTAATAATAAATATCAAAATAGATTATAATTAAACAACTAATCAAGACATAATTTAATTTCACTAAAATCATCATTATTAATATTTAGAGTTATTTATTTATTGAAAGATTTTTTTGAATAATTTTGCTTTCTAAATAAACCAAGTTGTGTCTAATGTAAAATAATTACTAATATACTTGCAAAATTTCTCAACTTACTTGATGTAAAAACTGGTTGAAAATTTGATGGGGGAGTTGATGGGGAGTTTAATAGGGAGGTTACGAAAGAAAAAATTTTTTTTTAACGCAACTTTTTGTTGAAGTAATTTCTTAATATCTGTCATATGATCATGTAGCACAAGTGTAATCATTTTTGTGAAACTTAATTACCTAATTTTTATTAAATTATATTAAGATATTCGAAAAATGAGTATAAAAATATGAATATGCAAACTAGCTTGATAAAAACTATTATCCGGTATCACGTGATTTTTATAATTATTGTATCAGGCAATCTTCAAATCACGGGATACCGGATAAATCACTTATTCGGCACTTCGAGCCGAATAACTATTAATTATCTGAGTAGTTTCATACTTGTTGAACAGCTTTGCTTATTTGACAAAGGCCAGGTAATTTAGGTTAAAATAAATGAATTTTTTGTACAAAAAAAAAGACGTCTATTATAAAAAAAAAAAAATTAATGTGTAAAATATTGTTTTACATAAATTACGTTTAAGCTGGCGGTTAAGAATCCTTAATTCTTTTAAACATGATATTTTTAAGGAATAAAAAAAAAAAGAGATAGAAAGAGAGTATTTGCAGTATTACATGCACATATAGCTGGACAATGTCAAATTCAAGCTTACAACTTGGTTAGCTTCTCTTATATATTCTATATGTTGTCAAAGATTATAGTATCGTCTAAGAGTAACTCTGTATTTCATACCAAGGTGTTTGTCATAAACATCTTTTGGTTTGTTAACTTTTTCTTTGGTTTGGGTTTCGTAAAATTTGTGGTCACGAGGTAGATGTGATATCGTATGAGTTTGATTAATAATAGAGTCGCAGGTATAGAACATTCGGATGTACATTGTAAATAGAATCCTAAATACCGTATTTTACGGTATATAAGCACCCTTTTTTGCACTTAATGCCGGCCAAGATCCTCATAATTCTGGTCAAAATCGCCATAATTCTGACCAGGGGTGCTTACTAACCGCAAAATACGGTATATCGTATATTGTTTATACGAAAAAAAAGTTTAAAAGGTTTGGTTTTTCCATTTTTAGTGGGCTCATTGATAAAAAAAATTCTATTTTTAATTGCAATCAATTTGTCCTTGACTCCTTGAGTAATTGTTACAGCCGACGAAAATATTTGGAAACAGTTCCTTTGAGAAATGAATTTAACTAATTACGTAATATTTTATTTGAAGATCCAAATGATTTTTGGACATCCGATGGTAAATCCGTTGTTTATCATAACAAAAAAATCCCGGTGGTACGTACGTATAAGGGTAAATAACAAAGTGTTAGCCGGATTTAGTCATAAAAGGTAATATCTTGCGAAAGTTGGGTACAATGTACCAATTGCCTTATATCGAAACATGGTGCAGTTGTCGAAAGGCTAGGGAAATTTTTTCAGATTTTATGACTTTGTAAAGACCATACAACGGATTTTTGAGGTACAGTAGGGTCTTCTGTAGACATAAGAACGTCGAGTAGGGCTAGTGGGAGGTGAAAGACTCGGAATAATTTAACAAAGCGATAAATATATTAATTTTCTATTGGTTTATCACATTTCATTTTTTTTATCTCAGATTGTATTTATAAAGACATTTCATTTGCATTCCATGCAATCTGTACTGAACGATGTTTCATAAAAGATCAACTGTTTAAACCTTAAATTGTAAGAATAATAAGAAAATAGGAACAAACAAGACAAAAAAAGAAGAACAAAGGAAAAAAAACAAATAAAAGCATTCGACATTGTGGATTGATAAAAATAATTTTATGGTTCACGAACTTTAATTGCAAAATCGAACGAACTATACATATATCTATATATAGTAATTCTGTTGTAACTCAAGCAAAATAGATAGATGGAATCTTCTTTTTTTTTAAAAAAAAAAAAAAATCGATGGAATTAATTTATTATAAAAATTAAACAATCATTTAATGAGCAACATATTAATATTGTGCAAACAAAAAAAGAATAAATAAATAACTACCGAATTTCTTTCCAATCCAAAATTAAAACCTACGTACTTTCTGTTAAAATTTTATTACTTTAAAAATACTTTGCGACGAAAACGTTGTTTTTAAAAATGAAGTTACTAAATCATTTTATTATTATTAACATAATCTTGTCATTATTTTTTTATGTCGGATTAGCAGTACTTGTTAACTGCCCAAATGCTGATCAAAATTGTTATTATTTAAATGAACTTTTGGCTCCTTGTAATCGCAAGCTTGATTTTAGTAAAATATTCCATTACAAAAACAAAGGTGTGGGAGTTGATGGTAAGTTCAATAAATAACAAGTAAATATAGTAAATATAGTTATCATGGAAAGTAATAATTAATAAATATTTTTTTTTTTTAAGCAAACTTTATATTCGATGTAAGTTGCGCGTGTACTAAAGAATTTTATGATACTCTTGTTGCTTGTGGTCAACTTTGCAAATTTCCTGTCGACCCTCCAATAAAATATGAAAGTGAATGTAAAATCGCTAAACAACCTGTGGATCTCGATGGATTGTGGCGAAAATGATGGCACGCCTCCAAACACGGTTTAAGTGGTGGTATACAAAATATTAGATATTATGGACAGCGGCATTAGTAAGAAGACTTGTTCTTAAATTTTGTAATTTTGTAATTTTAACTCATGTTGTATTGTTAGTATAATAATAATAAAATAATAAAAAAAAATAATAATATATGTACATGTGTAATTGTTGTACCAATATTTAGCACATCATGTCTTATTATATTGATGATACTTCGTGTCACATACCATTATTAATCAATACAATCGTTCTTATTATTAACAGGTCTGATAATTATTTAAAACAATAGAGGTTATTTTTATATTTTAGATAATATATTCAGGAATTCTAAAATACTTTATTATAGAGATAGTTGTATGTTTTTAATAATTCCCTTGTACTTGTACGTAATTTTAATTGATCGGAATTTTTGGTCGTTACACTAAATTTTTGATGGTAGCACCAAAAACGAGGTGGCCGAGTAGATAAAAAATACCGACAAAAATAAACAAAAATAATTAAAAAAGCAACCACCTACCTGAATGAATTTACTTTCATCTTTTTGAGATATTTCATTAGCACTCGTTAAATTAAATAACTTACTATTCAGTACGAAACTTTGAACAACCAGTTTCATTACTTTAATAAATTTATAGTGCTGTAGATGGTCTATCGATTAAAATTTTGTTATTCCATATTAGAAGCAATTAATATTATTGTTGATAATATTACATTTTGTTAAAAGAATTAATAATAAAATGTAATATTTATTATACTGTATGTATATTTTGAAATTACATACGAAACTTTTTTTTTTTCTTTTGTATTCCGCATTTAAGACATAATATATAATTATAAATCATTCCTGAACGTTTACAACTGAAACGCCGCAATACGCATGCAACTACGTTTATTAACCAACAATTTTATTAGAATTGTTATCAATATGATGTTCTTTTCGAACACATTTGCTTTCAGGAGACCAAAACTAACAAATGACTAAAAAGACATATAACGGAATAATGTTTGTTGAAAGTATACATACAGTCGTTCATATGAACTTTTAGACCAAAGATCTGACCAATCAAATTACAAATGAATCAAAGGACTATTTTAGGAGCAGATATGTACCATTATGTTTATTTTGCGATTTATGAAATGAATGATTATGTAATATTTCGGTATAGTCAAAAAATCAATAAATATATAAATTAGGTTAATCAAATTCTTAATTCATCTTTGATAAGCGATACCTTCATTTGGGCTTTGATGTAAATAAACTTTTAAAATAATTTTTTTTATTTAAAACTTGATGAAAAAAACTAGTTTTAATTGCATAAATTCCCATTTAGGAAAATTAAAATTTTTTCGGAGTTATATCCCGTCTAATGAGAAAAAAGTCTCCTCACTTTTGGCGTGTTTAAATTTTTCAAATTTTTTTTTATTCTTTCAAAATCAAATCAAAACATGAAAAAATCTTTTACTTATTATATTTATTCTTAAAAACATTTGTTATAATATTTCTCACATTTATCATTCAATCTAAAAGATTAAACATTAAAACTTATTATATGTAATAAAATTATTATTCTTTTATCTATAAGAAATCATGCATCGTCGTAAGGATTCCTTTTTACGATGTGGCGTATGAAAAACAGTTAATTTATTAATTTATTAATTTATTTATATTTATTTTTCATATTATTTAGGCTAAACGCCTACAATAAGGAAATTACTCTTGCGTTATTGTAAAAAAGTATTTCTATCTCCGCGAATATTTCGCATTTTTTCATATTGTATTATTCAGACTATACAATAAATAGTTATTCGGCACGAAGTGCCGAATAAGTAATAACTGTTATATTGGGTAAATCAAATTGATTCCCAATATAACAAGCTAGCGTGAATAAGTGATTTATCTGGTGTAACCATCAAACTTTTTTTAAGCTTTTTTAAACTTTACCATATTTCGACCATCATCAATTATAAATACCGGTACGTCATCGTAAGGAAGAATGTCTGAACTCTGCGAAATTTATTTATAAATTATACTATTTAAACTAATTTTTATAATTCATTAATTCATTATCATTTATCGTTTAAACTATTTATAATACATTCCCTTTATATGATTTATTTCTCCTCATACTATTTTTCATACTATTTATCATTCAAATTATTTATCATTCAAATTATTTATCATTCAAATTATTTATATTTCATAATATTTATTATCCTTATTATTTATCGTTCAAATTATTTATAATTCATACGATTTATTTTTCTTCGCTTTTCCCTTTCCCCTTCGCTTTCTCCTTTCCCTTAATATAACATTTTTTTTGCAATATTTTTGATCATGACAAAAAAGCGCCTTAATATAATTTTCTCCACAATTAAAACACTTTCCATCTCTCATACTACTTATTTATTACTATTTCAATCTGTCAATTATTTTATGTAAATATTATTTTAACATATTATTTTTATTTTACATATAATAAACGGTTATAACATAGAATTCTTTTCTACTAGTAAAAATTATTATGATTTTTCACCTGTAATATCCAAAAAAAAAATGTGTAAAATCAAACCACGAAAAAGTGTATTAGTTCCTGATGAGTTACATTTTACATATAAAATATTTATTGTATATTTTTTTAAAAGGCTTGGCTATAGCATACTGTATGATTAGTTAAACGTACGCACTTTAATTAGGTGGGAATGTCTGTACGTATTAAATAGGATGCAAATTTACTTACATTTAATAAAATCATTTCCTGCGCTTTACAGTTTGGTGAAGTTTGTATGAAGCTCCAGTTAGTGAATGTATTAAAAGTAAAAAAATTGTTGTTCGGCTAGATTCGTCATCCCAATGACTCCGACTGATACTCTGTCAGTACGTGTCTCTTTGGCGCAGTCCTACGCACGTAACAATCGAAAAAAAATCTCATACCGATTGTATCAGATATAAACCAAAATAGCGGCAAACGGGTAAACGATATTATTTTTTTCATAAGTTCGCAATTTCGCATGTGATATGAGTGTAAAAAAGTTCTAAATTTGCATCATATAATGAATAGATGTTATATATTTTTATGCAGGAATTTTGTTGATAGATTAAAAGTGGTCACAATCAAATAATCAATTACACCATCGATTTTTTCGCATATACCCCTTACGCTTTTATTAAATTAAGTTGTAAAAAATTAATACATTTATAAAAACATAGTAGAATAAAACCATTATATAATATAACTTTAATTTCTTTTTTTCGTGCGTTAACGTTAATTATGTTCCAAACAGATCTACTAAAACTCTAAAGCGGAAATTAATCACTTCGAATCACATGTAACATTTTATGAACTTTGCTGGCAAGAAGAAAGTGTGTCATTATTTGCTTACTTCACTGGATATTACAACTTAATGCACTGTCTTGTCTTGTTGACTTAGAATTAGATGATGATAAGCGTAAATCCCTGAGATTCCTGAGATCCCTAATGCTCCCATGCAAAATTTAAAAAAAATGTCATATTTGAAATAACTTACTCATTATGGCAGGTTCTCATTAATACGTATATATATTTATTAACAATTTTAATACTTTTGTTATTGAAGGAAAGAAGATAACCTCCAGGAGTGAATCTTAGGCTCAGATTGATTATGGTAAGTTAGTATGTAGAAATGGTATTAGATGGTCGAGCTGATCCTGTCATTGTTAGATCTCGTCCAACTCCCAACGATATTTTATGGAATAAACTTGATAAAATGGGTTTAATGTAACAATGATGTAACTTTATATGACCGAATTTTTCAAATCCAAGAAAAAGAAGTCAATGAAGTAACATTTGCTTGTATTGGTGATACAGTTAGTATTACGTCCTGGTACAATAATTTTAATTGCTGTATGATATGGCGACTATGAACCAAGAATTAGGCGATCTGTAATAAAGTATTTCCATCTTTAAGTTATTAGAGTTCTGTGCTTAAAGTAACCTTTCTCCTTTTAGCAAATTATCATGTACCAACCGTCTTTATTTATTACAAACAACTATTATACATCTGGATAATTTTTATAGAATTTATTTTTGCCCGTGGGTGTTACAGTATAGCACTCTAGAATGGAGTATCGTGAAATCTTTACCAATATAATGAGTGAAAATGACATGCATGATGGAATAATTGGGTTTGTCTGTTGATGACATAAGATCAATTATGATACTTTAAAATTGTATATTGAGCTTACAAAAAATAAATAAGCTTTGGTCACATGTTGAGAGTTTAACTCGGTAAAGTATAAATTATGTCGTTATATTCGGAGAGCAGTGGCGTAATTTTTATTTTATTCTAAATTACGGTTTACCGAATCATACCAATGTTCGCAGAAGGATTTAAATGAGTAATGGATCTTTATGCTAGAGAAACAAACAAAGGTATTATTCATTAATTTATTACAACCATTATTATTACCCTGAAGTTTATTCTCTTGCAGTGTTACAATTATGACACAATCCTAACTCTTTTTATCTATTTTACAGCTGCATTTTTTCTTGAGAAAAATTCTTTTTTCAAACATATACATAAAATCTATCCGAATGGGTGGAATTGGAGAGTAGTGGGATCAACTACTTTTTCCCTAACAAATAATGACCATATATAACAAAAATAAATAATACATCATATTACATATAACCGAAGTAATTCGTTTGCATGCGATGAATGCAATCATGTGATTAATTTTTTTGTATTTTCTTCCAGCCTAAGTAAAATAAAGATAAATAAGTTTAAGTTTATATTTTTTAAATTTCTTTTTATGTGATTGGAGGCGTAAATTAGGAAAATATAATATATATTAAAGATATTAAATGGGCAATTGTAATTCTAATGCATTATTTATAAAATAGAACGTATTTTTACTTTAGATCACGTGATTAAATGGTATTCGAAGATTGTTGAATACAGAATTTTTTTTTTTTTTAAAAAAAAGGGAATCAAGAATGATTTGATCGTAATAAAACATGCATGCGTAGGAAATGGACGTGTGCAAATATAACACCTACGTTGATAATTGATCGTTGATCGAACCGTCGTGGTCGCTATAGTATAGTTGCTATAAGCTGAAACTTATTTTATTTACTCATCGTAAAATCCAGATAAGCTATAGTTAACTTAGCATTATTATTTTTTTTTTATAAACATATTTATTAGGATAACTTGGAATTGAGATTTCATACCAAAGCTTGTTAACTAACAAACAAAATGTAGAATATTAATTGAATAATGTAAAGTTTGAAAAATATAATAAAGTACAACATTATTTAATTTTGACATTTTTTTTTTTTAAGAATTATTTATACTAATTTTACAAAAATGCAGAATTGCAGTATAATAAAATTTCAAACAACAGTTTATCCTTACCAGATTGTGATTTGTGTGACGTCATTTCACTTATCAAAAGATTAATTTCTGGCCTATATAAAATTTTTTAAATTAAAATCATGTTGATATAATGTCAACCATTTATGATGATAATTAATGGTAGCGGCATTAAAAAAGAAAATTTTTCACAATTTTTTTATAAACCCATGATTAAAATTATTAATGATGATGCAATTAAAAAAAGGAAGAGGAAATTGAGAAAACGAAACGTCTTTTTTAAAAAAAAAATAAAAATAAAAAATAAAAATAATCATTTAATGATAATTGTAATAGTTGTCCGGAGCGAAGCGAAGGACAATATATGTCCTGTCTCTTATACACATCTAGATGTGTATAAGAGACAGGGACAATATACTGTATGTCTACGCACTATGAAAAAAAAAATCGATCACGTGAGTTTCTCTGTCCGCCACGTGATCGTCACCAATGAAATCGGCAAATTTTAGTTTTTCGTTCCGGACTTACAACGGTTCCCGTTTCCTAGTTTTACTGTACACTAGGAAACGGGAATCGTTGTAAGTCCGGAGAGAAAAACTAAAATTTGCGATTTCATTGGGTGACGATCACGTGGCGGACAGAGAAATTCACGTGATCGATTTTTTTTCATAGTGCGCAAGGATCCTTTGCTTCGCTCCGGACACTCTCCGGACAATAATAGAAAAATCACATGAATCACGTGCCCGAGCTTTTTTACGCTGGGGAGTTGGATACGCGAACTTTACTGTAACGCAAACTTTGCGTATTATCATCACATTTTTTATTTTTTTATTTAACCTGATTACATATAAAACGTTTGATTCAGTATTTTATAATAACGATAAATTCAATCTAAATTTATTTCATAAGCAAATTCAATATGAATGAAAACTAACATAATAAAAATAACAATAAAGCTACTATATACTACAATTTAAATAATTTGATAACAAGAATATAAGAGTTTCTACATCGCATCATACTTTGATAGAATCTTTCTTGACCTTCTTTGTGTGCTTTTGCTAGCAGTAGGTTCCTTTTGATTATTAGGTGACTTGATGGTTTGATTATTAACTATATTTCTAGTAAAATTAGCCTGTTTTTTCATCGTTTGCTTAAAAAATTTATAAATACAAATTAAATTTATTAAGTTAAAATTATTTTAAATATTAACAGTTAATACATATTTATTAAATTTCTTACCTCAATCTTGTTTATTGTAAACGTATAGGCATCATACGTATTAGCCAGCAATAAATTTTCTGGAAACAATTCATCGATAAGTTCCTCTGGAACTGTTGAGGGCCAAAAATTTAATGAACTATCTTGCAAATAAACATATAATGGTTCCTTCTCTTTTTGATTTTCTAAAGTTAAGAATCGTAGCATAAATCGTTTTAAAGCCAAAGCGAATGCCTCTGCTGGTATAACTTTTTTCGTTGTAGTTTGCTGTTCAAGATCTAATGATTTCATTATTGCCGTCTCCATATCCGCTGAAAGTTTTTCCTTATATTTTTCATGAATATATTTAATTTTAATATCGGCAACTTGTTCTTCAACGAGCTCGTACAAAGAAACCAAATGTTTAAGTTGCAAATCAGTATCCAAAATTTTAGAAAATCCTCTATGTTCATACAAAGATGATAATTTCATCCATTGTAAAACAAATTCCTTAATGGATTTTTCTCCATCCCCGGCCGCAGTACGTTTGACAAAGCATAAAAGAATTTCCAATGATGACAAAAGTTCTGACGCATTATCTAAATTTAATTTTGAAGCATAATGTAAACTAGAGACCCCTAATAAATTCATTTTTTCAATTGGAATTGGCTCTTGAGCTATTAAATTCTTAATATCACTAAGAATTCTCATACATCCTTGAAATAGCTCCATGTGATACGGAAAAGGTTCAAGATATAATTGGGAATCTGGTAGAGTTTCTATATAAACTTTTTCGAAAACTAGAATATTTGCCAATTCCGCTTCAATTTTTGTCAAATCATATACAATATCTTCTCCTCTTGCAATTGCTAAATTTCTTTGACTATATGCAAGAATTTCATCATCCCAATCAAAATTAATGATATTTCCTGAACGAGCATGATCAAGATACATAGATTGAAGGCAATACCCATTGGGTGTAACTGGTTTTGTTTTTGAAATTGGTAGTCCGACATCAAATGTTAATTCATCTAAAAACTTGAGAGATTTACAAGTTCCAGGTGGAATTTCTATAACTTCTTGTAAGAATCTATTTTGTATTTCGATTAAGTGATATAAAATTGCACATAGGAAAATTCCTGCATCTTTCTGTTCCAATAAGCCAAAAATAACTGGAAGATTATAACCCATTGTTGGTTTATCATTGGGAAGTTCATGACATTGATATCGTTTAACAAAAGGCATTACTGTGTTCCAACCAAGTTTAAAGTCATTAAAAGCGGTATTTAAACTATTGAAAATTTCATCGTTTTCACCACCATTGGATTCTTTTTCTATAAATTGTCTGAAATTCATATCTTTTGCCGTTTGTCTTGTTAATTGATATCCAAGTTTGGCATTCAAAATTTGAACGAATTTTACAATAGGTAAAAGATGTTTTAGTAATTCTATTTGTTTAGAATGTTTGAAAAATATATTGAGAAATGGATAATCGTTGTTCCTTGTCAAATCGCTCATATAATAAGCGCGAAAACTATCAAAGTTAATTATTCCAATCGTTCTCCATAAATTTGGTAACTTCTCACTTCGATATTGTTCATCCATAACTAAAGTCTGATTGATTTCACATTCAATTAAGTTAATTTTTTTATTTTTGGTTAGAGCTTCGTTTAATTTCATACGATAATTAGCCGCTGTTTCGTTAACATTTTTAGTTTGTGGTGTAACATAATTATTATGGAATACGGTTTCCCAATTCATGCGTTCAGCAGATGTATTTGTCTGTTGATTCGGTAAGGGAGGATTTTCCATCATCAAAGAAATCAATGAATGGAATATTAACGCCAAATTCTGAATAAAAATTATAAAATTTATTAGTTAATAATTTTATTTCAAATTAGTCTAAAAAATAACAAAAACAATTTTTCTAAATACCACATCTGAACAGTTAAGAAGTTTCTTGAGAACTTCCCAATCATTTCGAATATGGTCCATACAATATTTTTCAGAATCTGTAGCGATATTATTATTTTTTTGAAGGAAGACAAGGGCAGGTTGAGGTGAAGACGCTCCAATAAGGGCGTGAATAATCAAGTGTAGCATACGGTATGTTGTAGGTGGAAAAGATCTGACGGAATGACCTAAATCTTGATTAACTAGTTCGCCAATATATCCTACTTGATCATTTGATGCTTGACCACCTGGTGCAACATCAAGCCTAGTATTACCCGCTGCTGGTTGATTATAGGCATTTCCTCCAATTGTATTTCCACAGTTTGGACATTTACTAGCATGGACCACATTGCCACAATTTGCGACAAAGTATTTAAAACCGCATTTACAGACATATCTTGTAACCTTTTCATTAATAGCATTTAACAATACTGATTCCATATCTGACATGCACGTTAAAATAAACTTATTCTGACAATCTTGTAAATTGTGTAAATACATTGCAAGTTGAGATGAATTCGGCTCAATCGATGCATGAAATGCGATAATATGTGCAATAACGGATTTTAATATCAAATCGGTATTATTAATTTCCGGATTGATAATTTGGAGTAAAGGTTGTTTATTCGATAGGATATTTGTTGCAATTGTTTTAAATGAATTCGATAAGTTCATTCCAGTAATCTCTTTGGTCAAGAAATCAGCCGATTGCACTTCTGAATGTCGCCATTCTCTTGAAGCTCTTAATGCATGAAGACGTACAAAGAGGAGCCCCATTAAAGATAATTTTGTTGTCAAAGTCATATTCTGCTTCATTTGTTGGATATATGTTTGGAAAGGTGCCTTATTTCCTATACTATAGAGGGCCATAAAGCTGTTTTCTGCTTCATTATATTCGGGTAAATTACAATATGGATTATCAGATAAACGATTTTCTTTAGTATCTTCCCAATTGAAAGTTCTAAGCCACGGCAAAACATTTTTTTGAGCTTCGCAAAATCGTCTAATGTCATCAATTGAAAAACCTCTCCGAAATAAATCTCTTAAAAAGTAAATTTTGAGAGAATGAATCAAAGGATGAGAAAAAGTCAAAATATTGTTGATTTGATTAATTATTTCATTATCAAAATTGTTTTCCTCTGCCTTATCATATACAATGGGGTTATTTTTATTTTTCGGAAGAAAACTATCCCAGAATCGACGAACGAATTCTTTAAGCAACGCAATAGAGACTATTTTTTGTAATGATGGCCTTCCTTGTTTATATAAAGCTTCAAGAGCCGATCCACAATAAGCCGCTAAATTTTCCAATTTCTCATTCATAAAAAAGCTTTGTTCAATGGTATCACAACATAAAGTAGTCATGTTTGTATTTAAATCTCCTAAACATTCATTAATAATATTTAACCGGGTAGATTGCCTCATAGCTTCATCGAAATCTGTAAGTGTTGTAAAGAATATATCCTGATTTTCTAAGTCTTCTTTAATAAATACCCTCTCAATGATTGCACCCATTAATGGAAAAGGTTCATTCGAGAATAACTTCTTATAAAAACTTAGAAGTACATCTGATTCGATAGGAATCAATGCAAGGCATCTCATGATAAATGATCTTTTTGGAATTATATTTTTCTCATTTTGTTCTAGTTTATCTAGCTTATCAATTACAGTGTTGATAAATTCCTCGGAAAGAACTTCTTGCTCGTCTGAACTTAATCCAAGTTGAACAATTTCTCTAATACTTTCTAAAGGAATTGTCTTCGTTGCAACTAGATCGTTTATAATACGTAACAACTGAAGATCCGGTAAATTCTTTGCTCGTGTTATCTTATTAACAAGAGATAATACTTTTGTTACATCATGCTGCCATTTATCGATCAAATGAGCATTTTCTGCGACTTCAAAATTTCCACAAATTCGCTGTAACATTAGTTTTGTCACTTCTTTAACTAGATATTTTTCCAAACTTCCTCTAATAATAGCATTTCCTTGAATTTCAATATTTTTAATTATTATGGGAGACATTTGAGCTAATTGTAATAGAGCTAAAACTTCGTTAGCATTCCTCCACCAATATGAGTGAAGGAAAATTGGTTGACGCACTTTATCGGTACCGATGAGTAATCTTAAAATTATTGTTAACATTTTTTTATTCTTTGTCTCACCATCTTTTGACACAATAACGGTTACAAAATCATTAAAATATAATTCGGAAGCCCATTCCCATTCAAGAGGTGAATTTTTTAATTGCGGAATTGACATAAAAAGCTTATTTTTGAAATCTTTTAAATGATCCTCAATCACATAATCGCAAAGTTCATTGGTTTTGGCATCAATTTTGCCATTATCCTTTTGTAATATTGTTATTTCTTCTTCATAATGTCTTTTAAAACTATCAATTTGTTTCATATAATAAAATGAAAAAGGAAATTCAAGATCGAGCAAACTTCCTGCCGGCATATTATATCCATCAGGTTTTGGATTTGGTATATCATCAATTTTGATAATTTTGTTATCCATATAAATTTGTTTCCAAAATTTAAGTAACTTTTCATAGTTCCCTTTTTTTGACTTCGTTTGATCCGAAACATAGAAAAATGTTTTTATTGCCGATAATCTTTCTAAGGCACATAAAATTTGAGTTATCGGTTTCCTAAGCAGTATTCTAACGTGAGCCTGTAGTGCTGCAGAAAATGAAGGATATGGGTACAAATCTTGTTTATTTGATGCGATTTTATATTGCCAGTTACTTGTAGATTTTTCCTCAATCCATTCAAAAGTTCTTTTTTTCAAACATTTAATAAAACTTGGATACTTTAGAATTTTTTCGTTCAATATCCTAAAAAAAGGTTATTCAAAAAATATTTAAATAACAACATAACAACATAACAACACATATATGTTAAAATATAGTATAATTACTATTTATACGTCACTTACTTTATATGATTGATTGACTTGTCGTTCGATGGATATTTCATACATGATAAACACCATAAGAGTTCTTGTTGTAAAATTTTCTCGAATGGATAAGTAGAATTAACAATACGAGTTAAAGATCCATCTAGGAGACCTGATGTAGGAACGTCACTTCCTGATAATGTTTCAATAGTCATTTGTTTCCAACCGCACATGAAATTAAAAGATGTAAAAGTGGATTCCTGATCTCGATGAATATGAAGAATGATACATGCATGCTTCGTAGGCATATCCCGCTCCATTTGATCTCTCTTTGATATATATTCATTTCGAAATTGTTCAATAATGAATTTGGCTAGTTTAATACATCCAGTATTAACGGTAGTTAATTCACATTGTATAATTAACATTTGATCGGTTGATTCTGACCAGAATTGTTTTACCTATAAGTATGGAGTTTTAATAAGTTACCTAAGAAAGCATGTATTAACTTATTAAATCTTTGCTTTTACTTACCCGATTTGAAAGTTGAGCTTCAGTTTTGAAAATCGACAATTTATCTACTTGACAACTTGCAAGTTCTTGTAAACAAGACTTAACATCCGTATTGATATTAGAAAATGTATTTATAATCACTAAATGTCCATTAGGATCTGATAACGCATCTTCTTGATTAGCAAAATAATCATAAAGACTATTGTGATGCTGTTTGTGGAAATAAATCTGTTTCCATCGATCAACTTCATCTCTTTCTAAAGCTGATTGTTCGGCTCTTACAACTCCGTCAGAAGATGCTGTTGCAATTAAACATTCCTTGCATTTTTCTAAAATTTCATCATTATCTGCTTCTGGATTATTCTTTGTGATGTCAATAATTAAACTTTGTAAGGTTTCATCTTTATCAAATCCAATGAATAGATTCTTCTGGGTGAATTTATTACGTAATTGAGTTATTGGATTAACTCCAATCAGAGTCGACATTTTTCTTACCCAATCACCTAAATTTTCAACAAGTAATTTTTGTTTATTATTAAGAGTGTCATTAATTGACATTTTTTGCTTTTCAAACCGATTAAGAAGTGGAGGATCAGCTGAAGCCATGTTCTTCTCATCCATGACAAGAATACATTTAAAATTCGGCGAAACGTAACTAAAATTCATTATTATTATTTAAAATACTTTAAAATAAAATAATCAATATATACGATAAATTTAATGAATTAATTCGCTTACAGCATAGGATTAGCATATGCTCCAAGTGCAACTCTTGTAAAGTATTTGACATTATCTTTACTTCCCACAACGATGTAATTTTGATTCCATAAATCATAAAGACTCCCTATTGAAATATAAAAAATCATTTAATATAAATAATTATTATACTTAAGATAACAAATAAAAGAATCACCATAAATTATTTCCAAGTCTGTTAGAATCAATGGTCTACCTGTTTCAACGCACATCTAAAATCATAAAATTAGTTTTATACATAATGTGGGTAAAAGAAAGAATATTTCTTATAAATTGTTACCATGATTCTCCTCAAAACACTATAATAATAATCATCCCGATCATCGGGAAATTGAGATCCTAAAATAACAACAGGATCCAAGTCTCTCATTCTTAACTGATAAGTCAACAAATTCACAATTGAATCACTTTTACCGATAACCATTAAGTGACGTGCATCAGAATCATCTAAATTTGAAGTAATTAATTGTTCAATTGGAATTTGTTTATATAACCATGGTTTATGATTATTAAACATTTTCAAAACATATCCAAAATAAAGTTCGCATAATTTGACATGATTCTCTGTTCCTCCAAAATTACGGGATAATGCCATTTGAATATTCTCTGGAGTCATTTCACATAATGAAAGTCGCTTAACCAACGCATAATAATCACGAAGACCGTGGAAATTAGGCAAAGATTGTCCATGTTTTTCGTAATTCAATTATGCTTTAGCTAAAGGTCTTAAAGCCCCTCTTTGATATCTTACAACTCTTTTATTTAATAAACGTTCAGCTGTATCAACTAAATCATCCAAATCAAATTGTGGTCTGCAAAAAACGTAAGAAAATATAAGTGTACATACTACATAGTGAAATTGTAAATTATACAATTATTGTTATTTATATGTACCTCTGAACAAGTAGTGCACGACTACTTTTACTGTTATCTAAGCGCCAATTAGATATTCCTATCACTGAAACAGTTGGCCCTGTAGCTGGATAACTTGGTTCAAGCAAGGAGTGAAGTACTTTTAACGGATTGTAAGGACTTGTTTCAGCTAAACCAACTTTAGAATGACATATAAAAGAAAAAGAAAAATTATGATAGACAGAAAATATTATAAATAATAATAATGCGAAAAACTTAGTAATATATTAAATATAAATGAAACTACCTTCATCAAGTAAAACAACACTTATAACAGGAAATTGAGTGGAAGTTGTTTCCTGAAACCTATTCGCCTTATCAAAAACTTTGATAATACCATCAGAAGTTGAAGATGAAGAACCTTGATGTGGAATTAAATAAATCTGTGGTAAATTTCTAAAATATTTATCATATGAATCGGCTCCACGTAAATTTGAGCTTATAAGACGAATTGCTAAAGATTTTGAAGAGCCTGGTGCTCCAATAAGGAACAGAGGGATTTTTGTCAAGATGCATACGATCATAACTAAAACATTTTCTAATAAAGCTTCGTTATATGCTGTATTAGGTGGACATCGCATCCTCTTAATATAATCTTCTTGTTCTTCACGAATAATTTTAGAAAACATATTTTCTCCTACAAATGCGTTGTGATTGTGTAATATTTGTCCCATTTCATAACGATATTGTCTACGTAAATCTTGTTCATATAACCGAGAATGATAACAAAGGCTAAGTGCTAGAACATAAGATCTAATCAATATGGTTGGATTTCCAGGCGGTGGATATACATGTCCATATCTGTAAGCAGGACGATTATGAAGAGATTTATAAAAGAATATCACCAATTTTATAGCTCGCTTGACATCACGTAGACTCACACTATATGGTTCTTCAACTTTTCGAATAAAATTTTGTGAAGCAAATAAAAGTTCCGCAAATACGGGATGTGCTAAATTTTTCAGTTCTTTTTCTACCATAATTTGAATATATCTATATTCATCTTTTGGTTTTAGAATACCATAGTCCCAAACATAATCTAAAATTTGATCAGGAAGTGGTTTGACTTGATAAACAAGATTACTTCGTTCTTCAAATTTTTTAACCCTATTTGTTAAACCAGCCTCACTTTGGGTTTTTGTACGAAGGCGATATGGATTGCAGGCGGAGAATAAACGAATATTTGGGTGTATTAATTTTCCATTAAGCATTCGATGAGATATTAAATCAGAGAGTAGACCTATATAATTGCAAGTATTGATCTCATCAAAGAATAGCCAAATCTCGCCTTTTTCTGCTTTTTCCAAAGAATCATCCATAAACATCATAATAGTTTTTTCATCAATTCCGGCATGAAGGTTAAGAGACTGGAATTGAACTTCAACCATCAAAGCCAAGTAGGCAATCAAACTTGTCTATAAGAGATATAAAAATTTTTTTTTAAAAAAAAATAATGATAATGAAAATAACAATTATAATAAAAAAAATCACCTTTCCACAACCTGCTTCACCACAAACTATAACTGGAATATTCGCACGTGCTCTTAAAAGAATTAAGGCCATCTTTATTAGGTTATCACCAGATAAAGCGTATTCAGAAATATTTAATTTTTCCGTCGACCTTCGCGCTAAATATTCTAACTTCACAAGAAGAGCATCCGTAGACATCGAATTGTAATCATCTAATTCCCACTTTGTTCTATCTCCAATTACTTGACTTTTTAATAAAGTCTTAACATTTTCGTGAACTTTAGTTCTGTCACGATATAAGGCAGATATTGTATCGGGAGTTTGAGAATTGAAAAATACTATAAGATGATTTGAGTCGTCCCATTGAACAATTGTACCAAGACGAGCGTTTTCATCTTCAGTATTTGTAGATTCCAATTGTGCCTCTCTTGTTTTTATAGATCTAGTTGCAAAATCTTTTGAACCATCCATTAATGTTTTTAATATAAGTTTTCTAATATTAGTAGTTTCTTTTACCATTAATCTCAGATTATCTACTGTAAAGAATAAACTTGATGAAAATCGAACTAATTGATCTGCTAGAACATTAACAAATATTTCAACAAATCTAAATGAGGAAATGTCTTTGTTGTTTTCGTTAAAGAAATATTTCTCAATAAGGTTTTGACAACGTTCCACTGGTAACGGTTCTTTAATTGCATCATCCGTCCGAAAAAGGATCTCTTTTGTATCTATCTCATTAAGATCTAATAAATTCAAATAATTACAAGTAACCTGAATTGGACTAGTAATATCTTGAGAGATTTTCAAACTTTTAATATCCCAAGTTAAATGCTTGGACAATAAATATCCTGCCATAGGAAGAGAATTAAGTAAATATTGTTCAGTAGTTGAAGCTATTTCGATAAATATATACGTAGGTGTTTCTGAAAGCGGTAGGCAAGCTATATTAACATTAGTAGAGACTATACCCAAAGTTAATAATTCAAATAAAAACATATTGACGTCTCCAGGAAAGTTAGATGATACTATATTGATATGTAAACTTTCTGCAGGTCGGAGTTTACATTCTTTAAATTGGCGTACAAGTCTGCCAAATTCCATATCATCACTTATTAAAAAGCTACGTGGGAATCTCTTTTTATTGAAACTATCCTCTTTAATCCATTCAGTTTTGCCTTGTCCCGATAAGTCGGAAGAAATACATATAACATTTTTACACAATTCCTTATAAATTCCTCTCATAGCTACATTATTTAATCCGTTGGTTTCAACGACATCTGAAGAAAATTGATCTAAAATGTGATGATGAATTCCATTTTCTCTGTAACAAATAAGCGCTAGAAGAAAATCTTTTTGATCTCGCATTGATCTAATTTGATTAACTAAATCATATTGTAATTCAAAGTCTAATAATTCTAAATTTGCAATACAAAATAAGTGATTTTCATATCCATTTTTTGATGCAAAGAAACTTCTTTTTATGAAGATAGTTAATTCCTCCATTGTAGTTGAAGTAGTACATATTAAGAGTTGCCACGGTTCTGGATAATTTCCATTATTGGCATATAATGACATAATAATGTTTGGAACTCTTGTTTTGTCAGCACAAGCAGCAATAAATAATTTACCCTTTTTAACTATATCCAACGTTGCGCGTTGTCCGGTAGTTCCAACAGCTTTAAGTCCTCCGCGCGATTGTTTTGGAATTTTTTTAAAAATTTTTTCTAATTCATTTCCAATCTCACAAAGAATCTTGCGATAATCTTTAGATCCACGTGAAATTCCTTGAACATCTTTTCGAAATGGTAATTTAGCTTTGTTGTTCACAAATCTAACCAATGTTTTACATTCTTCTTCATTTTCTTCATCTAGTTTTTCCGATGTGAAATAATCATGGAATGCCAAAATATGACGAGCAGGGAAGAATGTTAAATAATAACACTGTTCTTGTGCGTGATCAACTATAGTTTGCCTGCAATTGGTAAAAAATGAAGTATGTTATAATCTTTCATTTATATATCACGCTCTGAAGGAAGGGAAAATAATATATTTACCAGTTTTTGAGCTCATTCTTTAAGAATTTTAAATAATCTTTCATTCTATCTGTTCCCATTAATTCATTTTCGAACCTTCTATAATCAAAATGTCCCAATTGCATTAACACGGACACTACGTTAATTATTTCTTGTGCAATATCGACTTGAACAGTAAATTCATCCAAAATATTTTTTGAAATTTCATCATCCTTATCGTTTATTACGCTTATCTTAGGTTTCGCAATTAAAAGAGCTCGTCCACGTAAATCCAAGATTTCATTCATATTATATGTCATTAACATCTCTGATTTAAAAGTTCTAGAAGTATATTTTAATGTAACAAAACATTTGTCTTCTTTTTCATCACGTCCAAAAGTATAACTCCCATTCAGTACGGCATTTTTGATTTTTTCCTTAGTAACTTCACCACGATCTGAAATGTTCTTATACATATTTCGTAACGCCATATGACAGCTGTTACATAATGCAATCTTTTCCCCTAAAGTAGGATTCTTTTTTATAATATTTGATAGTGAAGCTAAAAAACCAGCGATATCATCTCTTTTATTCTTATTCATAAATGGCAATAAAATTTGCTTGACTTGAATAAGTGATGAAACTGTATCTTCTTGAACCAATCTTTCATCCGAATGGTCATCCACACCATTTATCAAATTTTTAATATCGTGTTCGACAATTTCTTCTAAAAAACTTATAAATTCATCAGCATTTGATAGCTCTTTTATCAACTTCCAACATTCTTGATCAACATTAGAAATATTGTTATTAAGATAATTAAAAAAATCATTAATTTGATTAAGTTTCATATGTCCGTCACTCAAAATTTTAAGTGATTTAATTAACCAATCATCTTTATCATGTGCTATTTTAAAAAGTTTTACAACTATGTCTAACTCCTCAAGTCGGTTAATCCAATGAGGAATTTTTGAAAGATGGTTAATTGTTTGTAGAAACTCTTGGTTTTTATAGCCTTTATAATCCATTAAATCAAGTTCCATGTTAACATCTGTAACATTATGCCAGAACAAAGATGCATATGAAACTTCGAGTTTTTCCCATTTCTTAAATTGTTCACAGTAAGTATTGTATTCTTTGAAAACAGCTGGTATTAATTTTTGCGCTATGTAGTCTACATTTGTTGCAGCAGTGTCTTTCTTGATACAATCTTCAAAGATATTTCGAAAAGATCGAGATTTAATATATTTGTAGCAATGTCTTGAAATGATCAAAGTTTTTTCATGGAACGCCCAATAATCTGGTGATAACACTTCTCTCAAAAACACGTTATTTGAACTTGCCATATGTTTCTTTACGTCTTGAATGTAATCATCCACATCGGTTACTTGAGAAACTGGACAAAATTCGTTATAAAATTTGAAAAGTATATCAAGTTGAAGTTGAAAGTTGCCACAAAGTTTTCTAAGTTCTGCAATTTCATCTCGAGATACAATCACATCAACTATGGCTTTCTTTTTAGAAACAGCTGCATCGAAGTGTTGAAATAATTTTTCATCAGAAAACTCTAAGAGTTGTTGTAACAATTGTATATCAATCTTCTTTTCACGAAGTAATCCGCCAAGTTCATTGATAGACTTTTTAACACGTTGAACAAACGGATTTGAATGAAGTTTTGTAACATTTCCAGTAGCACGTAATATAATGCTCCAAAATTGACTTGCTCTTAGAATATTTAAATGATGTTCTGAAGGATCAGATGCGGATGATTGGTTTTGTAATCTAGTAATGATATGATACAAAATTTCCTCGCTCACCCTAATAATTATAAATTAATAAATAAATATATATACATATTTACATATAAGTAAATTGTATTTAACAAAAAGATAAAATTTTTTAAAGAACTTACGTGTTTGGGACTTCCAAAGTCTTTTTATTGCAATCACATATTATATAAATTTTATTTATTAGTTGATCATTAATTTGTTGAACGGCCTTACTTAGCATTTCTTTTATCAAATCTAAAAATAATACTTGAATAGCTTGTTCTTTCATCTTAATTATAAACTTTGTCGCGCCAAATATTTGGGGTTCCGAGCATACTCTAACTCTATCAATAGCAATGGTTGTTAAACTTTGCCAAACATTTTTTCGATGACCAAGCAAAGGGTGTATGCGTTCTAAATGTAAAAATACTGAAAGCACAATGTTATTTTCTTTTCTATTTCTTGCGCTTGTACCCGTGTCAATTTTAATTAAAAGATTTTTAAACCAAGTCATGCATATTTTTGGTATCTTTTTTTCTTTAGTGTCGGAAAAATTACCATTAAACCAATCATCTAAAATTACAGGAAATATGTTTAATAATTCCAAAGTATTAGATTGAGATATTAAATCTAATGATTGAATAATTTCCTCTTTGCCCCAATTTAGACTATCTTCTTGAAGGAGGTTTTTAATAGCAGTGATATTTTTCTCGGTCCAATCTCTATTCGAACCTTTAAGTAATTGTAATATGTGGGACCGGAAAACTTCGGACACATCATATCGATAATCTCTTGGGAGTCTTTTAAAATGGTATTCTAAGGTAACAGCATCATCACGAGAGATACTTTCTCGAATTCGTTCAATAAAACACTTAAAAATGACTTTGTCAAGTTCGTTGTTATGTAAGAGAATATCATTCCAAAGTACAATAAGGTAATCCATATTATGGCATAATTGAATTAACCACTACAAAAAGATAAATTTTTTTCTTTAAAAAAAAAGACTAATCAGAAATCAGAAAACAATAATTATATTAAAAATTACCTTTGCAATCTTAATATAAGATTCAGCTTCAATGCCATCAATATAAGGTCTGATCATTTTAATTGCTTTAATGAAGTTTGCTAATAATTTGTCATCAGAATATTTTAAATTTTTTAAATAATCAATGAAATCAAAATTGGAATCAACTTCTGACGCAATTGTAAAAATAAGGACCCAATTAAATTGCATCCGAAAAGCATTATGCTGAACTAAAGTTAAAATGGCACTATACATCTGGTTTTTAGTGTTTGAAGGTAAAATATCTCGATTATATTCATCGAGTGCATCAAGCAACAACCCAGATTGAAAGTTATTTTGTAGCTCATAGAATGTGCCTTGTTTCCTTGAAGTATATTGTCCTAAGAGAAAACATAAGAAAAGACGTTTTTCTTTGTTTAGTCTATTATCAATGCGATCGACAATGAAATCGAGGTTTGATGCACGGATCGTAAAATCATGATGAAGAGTTAATAAATGTTGGTATTCCATAACTTTAGCTTTAAGGTTGTCAGCTTTTATAGAATTATAAATGTAACCCACAAAAGCAAAATCACGTATAGTATTAGGATATAAACGAGGTAATTGATTATTGCTTATGAATATATCAAATTGATTATTTCCAATATTCAACATGCGATCATCTCTATTACTACTTCCTTCAAATACAATTCTTTCTTCTCTTCCACGAAATATGGATTTAGGTATGTGAATGGCATACTTATATTGAATTTCTTCAACTACAGAAGATAATGAAATAACAATTTGGTCGGATCGCCAATATGTTCGATTTTGTGGAATAAGTTTTACAATAGGGCTTTTCCAAGATCCTAATTCTTTTACATTACCAAGAACTACGGGGTTTCCAACTTTATCAATACCTTCCGGAAAATGAACATGGAAAATAACTTTGATCTCATTCTCGTCCTTATTACTACCAGGCATCCATCTATTAATCACGCCAGGCCATATAGAACTACTATTATCTGGTTTCCGATTTTTTTCTTGATTATTACTGTTGTAGTAGTCTTTATTATTATCTCTATACGAACTTTGATTATTTTGATTATTTGTGATTTCCTTCCTTGATCCTCCATAAAAAGATTCGGACTCATTTCGCTTATTGGAACGACTATATTTCTGGGAATCGCCAACATTGTCATTATAATTTAATTCGTTTCGGTTATCGTTATGCATAGACAGATTTTGATTATTTTTATTTTTTGAATATCTAGTGGTCTCATCTATTTGTTCTTCATAAAGCTCTCGTTCTTTTTTCTTATTAGCACGACCTGAAGGCAATAAGTCACTATTTTTATATTCATCATTCTCATCTTGGGATGAGTCCCTATCGTTATCTAACTTCTTTTGATGCATAGACAGTTTTTGATTGTTTTTATTTTTTGAATATCTAGTGGTCTCATCTATTTGTTCTTCATAAAGCTCTCGTTCTTTTTTCTTATTAGCACGACCTGAAGGCAAAAAGTCACTATCTTTATATTCATCATTCTCATCTTGGGAGGAGTCACTATTGTTATCTAACTTCTTTTGGTTGCCTCCATGCATAGACAGATTTTGATTGTTTTTATCTTTTGGATATCTTGGATATCTAGTGGTTTCATCCATTTGTTCTTCATAATCATCATTCTCATCCTGCGAGGAGTCACTTATATTGTCTAATTTTCTTTGGTTACCTCCGTGTATAGGCAAATTTTGACTATTTTTATTATTTGGATATTCAACAGTTTCATCCATTTGTTCTTCATAATCATCATTCTCATCCTGTGAGGAATCGCTCGTGTTATCTAATTTCTTTCGGTTACTATCATGCGTAGATAGATTTTGGCCATTTTTATTATATGGATAACTATTAATTTCATCTATTTGTTCTTCATAATCATCATTCTCGTCCTGGGAGGAGTCACTCGTGTTAACTAATTTCTTTTGGTTACCGCCATGTATAGATAGACTTTGATTGTTTTTATTTTTTGGATATCGAGTAGTTTCATCTATTTGTTCTTCATAATTATCATTTTCGTCTTGAGAGGAGTAACTTGTATTGTCTAATTTCTTTTGATTACCGTCATGCATAGATAGATGTTGGCCAATTTTATGCTTTGGATATCGAGTAGTTTCGTCCATTTGTTCTCCATAAAACTCAGGCTCTTTATCATTATTAGTGTTTTCATTTTCATCATCTGATATCTTTCGGTTTCCCACAGCGTAACGAGATTTTGAAATTTGCTTCTTAATCTTTTCATCTGTTGAATCATCACTACCGTCTTGATTTTTTTGACGGCGAGTAAATTCATCCTTTTGTTCTCTATAATAAGATTCAAATTCCTTTTTTTTATCAATACGATTGTGTCCTGGTGAAGATGGAATGTCATCTTCATAATAATCATTGTTCTTGACCTGATTATCGCCGATATTGTCATCAAGATCGTTATCGTCATTGCCATTGTCATTATCTGATATTTCAAATTTCTTTCTATTTTTCACAACATAGCGAGATTTTGAAATTGGCATCTTGATCTCTTCATTTGCTGAATCATCATCACTATCTTGATAATTTAGACGACGAGTAAATTCATCCTTTTGTTCTCTATAATCAGATTCAAATTCCTTTTTCTTATCAATACGATTATGTCCTGATGAAGATGGAATAACATCTTCATAATAATCATCGTTCTTGACCTGATTAACGCCGATATTGTCATCAAGATCGTTATCGTCATTGCCATTGTCATTATCTGATATTTCAAATTTCTTTCTATTTTTCACAACATAACGAGATTTTGAAATTGGCATCTTGATCTCTTCATTTGCTGAATCATCATCACTATCTTGATAATTTAGACGACGAGTAAATTCATCCTTTTGTTCTCTATAATTAGATTCAAATTCCTTTTCCTTATCAATACGATTGTGTCCTGATGTAGATGGAATGACATCTTCATGATAATGATAATTCTTGACCTGAGAGTCGCTAATATTGTCATCATAATCGTTATCGTCATTGCCATTTTCATCATCTGACGTCTCTCGTCGATTTCTCTCAGCGTAGCGAGATTTTGAAATTGGCATCTTGATCTCTTCATTTGCTGAATCATCATCACTATCTTTATTTTTTTGACGGCGAGTAAATTCATCCTTCTTATCAATACGATTATGTCCTGATGAAGATGGAATGTCATCTTCATAATAATCATTGTTCTTGACCTGATTATCGCCGATATTGTCATCAAAATCGTTATCGTCATTGCCATTGTCATCTGAAATTTCAAATTTCTTTCTATTTTTCACAACATAACGAGAATTTGAATCATCACCACTATTGTCATCATGATCGTTATCGTCATTTTCATCATCTGACGTCTCTCGTCGATTTCCCACAGCGTAACTAGATTTTGAACTTTGCTTCTTAGTCTCTTCATCTGTTGAATTATAATCATCATCTTGATAATTTGGACGATGAGTAAGTTCATCCTTTTGTTCTCTATAATTAGATTTATATTCCTTTTCCTTATCAATACGATTATGTCCTGGTGTAGATGGAATGTCATCATAATTCTTGACCTGAGAGTCGCTGGTATCATCATCTTCGGAATTAGAGGTATCATTTTGTTCATCGATATCAGAATTATGCACATTATTATTATGAATTGTGTCAATCGACTCATCTACTATTTTATCATTACCAAAGGAATATCCATTATTCATCATATCTCTTACTTTATTTGCAAATAAATTTTTTTCTATATCGGAACGTGGAACTTGTAAAGAAGAATCTAATAATGACTCTTGATCATTATTGGATACGGTATCATCCTCATTTATTTCTTGTTCCATATTAAATAAATTAATTCGTTAAAAAATCGGGGATATAAAAGAAAATAAAATAAAATAAAATTTTAATTTCAGTCATAAGCAAGCTAGAAAAAAAANTTTTTTTTTTTTTAAAAAAAAAAAAAAAAAAAAAAAAAAGGAAAATAAAAATCGACAATCACTTTTTATTCAGATAGGAATGGTTATCAGTTTAATCATTAATTATTTAATTATTTAATTTGCTGCATATCATCAGCCTACATACCATTTATACCATTTATTCCATTTTAATAATTAAACTTTTTATTCTTTCCAATTTTATATAATGAAAACTTATATAGTAAACCATTAAATTTATACTTTTAGTTCAAAATAAAAAAAAGGACCAATTGTTCAAAAAGAAAAAAACCCATTTTAACGAAATAAAATAAAGTAAAACGAAAAAAAAAGCGAAAAATTAAAAAAGAAATTTCACAAATTAGGGAATCGACTGTTGAATCATCACGTGGTACATTCACATTTTTGGTTAATCGGTTATCAATCAAAAACACAAAGAATCTAAATATAAATTAAAGTAAAATTGTTAGCGTTAAAAATAATTATTTATAGTGAATCAAAAAATACAGATTCTGATTATCACCATCGACATTTTGATTTACCTGACAAAAAAAGGTTAATTAGAATCCGATCATTTCAGTCAAATCAAAAGGTGAATTCGTTTCGATGAACTTAAAAGTAATGAGAGATCGTCATCTATTTTAAGATTAATATAAATATATATTATTTTACAATACTTTACTATGTAGATTAACTTACAGTACATAATCGTTCACAATATATATACATAATTTTTCTAATAATGCTGAAGCATAACAATAAGCATCACAATCACAACAATAAGTATAACGATAAAGCATAAGCACGTAAGCAATGAACTACGCACTAAAAGTCGAATTAACTCGGAAGTGATGGACTATTACACATAAAGTTGAGCAACATGTCACAAGCTTTTTGAGGTAGAGCTACCGGATACAATCCGGTTATACTCGGGTATTTGTATTCGTTTTATGTTTGAGTTGATACATACTGTATATACTCGGGTATTATCCGGGTAATTACTCCATCCAAAAATTTAACTGCCATGACAACCAGAATTAAGGCTTAGGGCCAAAATCATAATTTCGGCCAGAATTGTGGTATGATGGTTACCACTGGAGCTTATTTTGTGAGACCTTTTTATCTTTTTAAACAATATTAAAGTTATATCTTGATTTGTATATTTATTGAGAAAAATAATTAATTTATAACCAAATATACTCAGGACATCTGATAAAAAGTAAAAATGGGTAATACCGTTATGGAGTCGGGTAATTCTTTTTTTGTTTTGAATATGATCCGGATTGAAGGGTCGCAGCTGCAAAAATTACCTCAACCCGTGTAACCATATCATCACGACTATATATTTTATTAGTATAGTACGATTTTGTAAGTTAGTATGTTTGTGGGATTTTTACTTTGTATGTATGATTTTTTATGGTACATATATACTTTATTATATAATATGTATGTATGATAGTATGATTTAAATTTTTTATTACATACAAATAACACATAATTATGATAATTCGAAGTTTGATCAACGCTTACACAGACGACGATTACACAATATATTAAATACGAAAAATATAATATTTTTTCCCTGATTTTTTTATCAGTTCGAGATTTATTTTTTTTTTAAAATTTATTACATAAATATAAATAAATTTCACATTAATTAAAATAATTATATCAATTAAAAATTAAATAATTAATAAAATGGAAATAGCTCTCTCAGATGTAAAAGAAATTATCGAAGCTTTAAAATTGGCTAATTTAGTAAGAAATAGGATTAGAATTATTAATGTAGGCAAGAAATCCTATATAATTTTTTTATAATTAATTTAGTATTTTGCAGCTTCAATTTTTTTCATTTAAGTTCTGCAAGAAAATTAAAAAAATTAAAAAAATTTAAAATTTAATAAAGAACATGAAAAAGCTTAAATATGGTTGTGTTTATAATTTATTTATTTAAAGATAAATGCACATAAATAATGACATGCTAATGTAAGTGTATAGCAAATAAAAATATTTATTTAAATTTTTGTTTTCATATTTTAAAGAAAGCGAGCACTATCGAAAAAGTGTATGACGAGGCTGGTAAAAAAGTATGATTTATACACGTATGTATGATTTTTTTTTCACTATATACGTACAATTTTTCTATATTTAATAATCAAAGTAGTATGTACGATTTAAAATCATACGTACTAAAAAAAATGCTACATACTATTTTACAAAATCATACTATACTAAGATCGGATACGCCGTATCATCACCCCTCTGCATAATATAAATAAATATTTTATAGCAAGGGGGTCAGTAGGGTGCGATGATTTATGCAGTGTTGATTAGGTGAGGTGAGTCAAAGAAGGTAATTTTTGCGTCGCAGCTCTGTCTTGAGGTACGTCAAATTAAAGTACAGTTTAATATAGTTGTGATTTTAACCATTAGAACAATTAAATATTAAACATCAGTATGGATTATTCATTATCTCCATTTACAGAACACTTATTAATTAACTAAATTATCAATTGATATAATTATATTTTCAAGAAAAGTTCATTATAGGCTCGTTATGGTTTAGTCGCTGATCAATTGAACATGTCACATATATATTGTTTAGTCGCTGATCAATTGAACATGTCATATATATATTTATATGTAAATTTTCAAAGAAAATTCGAAGTATTAATTTCCTTTCCTTTAGAAGGTTCAAATAAAGTAATTGAAAATGGGATTATGTGATAAAATAGGCACTTTTATCATCGCTTTATTTATTACTGCGGCAAATGTATCGTTCTTATACGATCAGGTGCTATGTTCTTATACGACGTATATGTCACATAATATAGTATGTCGTACACGTATAAGAACGATACATTTGCATTACTGCGTATAGTGTTGACCTATTTTCATAAAATCCTGTAAATAAAATAGCTTATTTCGTTATTCTGTGTTGTAAATTTGCTTTTGAATAATTCGATTGGTTGTCGGAGTCATGTGTACATTTTGATAGATTTTCATTTTAATTAACGAAAAGGTTTAATTTGTCTTACTTATTAGTCATATTTCACTTTTGGCTATTCAGAACGATGCTATCCGGTTACTTTTAATATATATATTTTTTTTCGGTTTTCAATTCTTATAAACTCGGAAATTGAAAAAAATATGCTTCTTATAGACCGAACTTTTTTTTTTAAAAGTACTTTTTTCCATTTTCTTAGACTGAATTTTTTTCTGAAATTCGTAAATTAATCCTTTTGCAACGCAACAAGTTACAGCTAGTCTAAACGAAAACTTTTTATAGATGAACATTCACTTATAAATTTCTTCATAGATATTTGCATAATTAAACGAAAGTTTTGCTTTTGAAAATTTGCTTTTATGATATTCTCATCTTTCAAATATTTAATTGAATTATCAGATACACTTTATAAACATATTTATAAGGATAACTCCATAAAATTGAAATCATGACTTCATATCAACTAACAAACAATAATTTAGAGATTTTTATAATTTCTTTCATTATTTGATTAAGTCACGTAAATTTGAAAAATTTTATAAAGAATATCATTATTTAATTTTTTACATTTTTTTTTTTTATCTATTACGTCAAATTATTTATATATGACATCAGTTAAAATTTAAGAGTAAAGGCCGAATTTATACTCAACCATGTATGTTTGAGTTATATATACTAATTTTTAAACGGGTATCTATAAAGAATTTTTATCTTCAAAATTTAAATTTACAGTATTGTACTTCCTTTTTCACAAAAGTAATTCGGTTTCCATCTGATGAAACAAAAATGTACTTGCATTTATTTATAATTTATCGTGCATGAAACTATTTTCTCCAATATTTACTTATAATACCAGCCAAATCTATGATAAATTTAATAATAGAATGAAAATAACAATTAATTAATTATCTTCGCTTCCACAATGGTATATCTGATGAAAAAGAAGGAAATGCCAGGATAAAAACCAGGTATAAATTAGACGAATACTGTTGGTATTCGAATATTTAATTAAAAGTTAAAATTACACTCCGCCATCACAATCTAGTAAGGGATGAGTGTAAATAAGCTTATAATTCTGTAGCAAAATAAATTATTTTGTGAAAATGGGAATGGTTTGTGTAGAAACATACTAGTCTAGTCCCGAAATGTATACAAAAAGATTTACTTTTATCTATACGTGCCAGAATTATGATAACTTCAGTTAGCGTTTAAGGATTGTAATAGCTTTCCGCCCCGACATTATTTAAAAAAAGAAAAAATTTATATGATTTTTTTGGTTGGTTGTAAGTATAAACTTCTTATGTATATATAAGGGTAGACTTATCTCTCCATTTGTTGCAAGTATCATAGATACTGTACATAAAGAAAGGATAAGAGATGATGAAATTAATAAAAGGAAAGAAATCAAGATAGTAAAATAAACCGGCAAGTTCATTATTATTACTATTATGATTATTACTAGGAATCCGTTATTAAGTCTGAAGTGCCATTTAAAGTTTTTTTGTTGCACGAAGCAAAAACATCATTCTTTGATATGTTTATGGTATGATTCTTGATAGGCATTTATTTATTTTTATTTTTATATATCAAGAATGACACTTTTGCCGGACGGACTTGCATACAACTTGCGTAGAAATTTATAGTTCTTCGGACCAATCATTATTTCTTTTAAAAAAAAGATATCTTTGTATAACATCTACAACGGCCCCAGATAATTAGGTTAGTTCAGGCCACATTGATATATATCCAAATTGTATCTTTTAAAATCGATAATTATACAGTCAACTCTCTCTAAGTGCACACTCCCTAAAATGTACGCACTATATGATTTGTCTCTAAATGAACCTCCTTACTCAGTCCCAAGTATAAATTTCTCTCTAAATGTACATTTTTTCAAATTTTCATTATGGTCAAGGAGGGTGTACTAAAAGAGAGGCAAATGTATCTTACTTAGACCATCAGATGCTATTTTCTTGTATATGCAAAAATTAATACGCAATAATTGATAATGTGATAAACAAAAAGAAATATTTTTGAATATTAATAAAAACAACTTGTTAAAATCAAATAATATTAAAATAAAAAAATTAATCTTATTTTTTTTTTAATATTTATGAATACAGTATATATATACTGTAGTATATATGTAAGTACTGTTACTACTGCATTATTTTTTCATTAAGTATTATAATTCTTTTTATGTCTATACTCTATACTCTTGTAAAAGAAAAAAATAATGAAATAACAACGCGTTAATACTTTTAGTTTTCAGGTCAAGAAAAGAATACATAATCATGCTGGTATATCTGAATTATCTGATCGTACAAGATGGTATAAGAAAGATACATATAAAGGGGAGCATAATTTGATCGTATAAGAATAGCACGTGATCTTATAAGAACGATACAACAGTGTTTTACTGTACATCACATGTAAATGCTGAGTAAATGCTGAGTAGGGATAAATAAAATACGCTTTTATTACATTCATAGAAAAAAGGATTTTAATAGCCGAGGATGTACTTCATCGGAGTTACGCCTACGCAACAAAAGCATCAAACAAAAGCTTTTTTTGCGCAAACTTTAACGCAAACTCATCCCATTTTTTATTTTATTTTGATTTCGCGATTACATCAACCTAAGATCTGTAAAATATTCATAGAAGAGAAAAATGAAAGTCGGATAAAATTCGGATATCTACCAGTAAGTTGAAAAGTTTGGCTATATTAAAAATAACGTTAAAGATTTCTCAGGCAAATTTAAACATCAGAATATAATAAATATTTTTCCAATACTATAATAATATATTTTAATAATAATTTGATGTTTTATATCTAAAATAACAATAAAGATACTATATATACTACGAATTTTAATAGTCGGATAACAAGAAAAAGAGTTTCTACGTCGCATCAAATCTAAGTCGGCCATTTCTTGGTCTTCTTGATGTATTTCTGCTAGCTGTAGGTTCCGTTTGGTTTAGATTTGTTAGATCATTGATTCTCTGTTTTTTCATCGTTTGCTTAAGTAATTAATAATATATAAAAAATTTTTTTTAGATTAATATTATTTAAATATATAAAAATATATATTATAAATTTTCTTACCTCAATCTTTTTCATTGTGAATGTATAAGCATCATATGTATTAGCTACCAATAAATTTTCTGGAAACAATTTATCAACAAGTTCCTCTGGAACTGTTGAAGGCCAAAAATTTAATGAACCATCTTGTAAATAAATTTTTAATGGATCCGTTTCTTTTTGATCCTCTAAAGTTAAAAATCGTAACATAAATCGTTTTAAAGCTAATGCGAATGTTTCTGCTTGTATAACTTTTTTCGTTGTCGTTTGCTGCTCAAAACCTAAAGATTCCATTATTGCCGCCTCCATATCCGTTGAAAGTTTTTCCTGATATTTTTCATGAATATATTTAATTTTAATATCGGCAACTTGTTCTTCGACGAGTTCATATAATGACACCAAGTGTTTAAGTCTTAAATCAATATCTAAAATTTTAGAGAATTCTCTATGTTCATACAATGATGATAGTTTCATCCATTGTAAAACAAAATCTTTAATAGATCTGTCGCCATTTCCAACTGCTGTACGCTTGACGAAACATAGAAGTATTTCCAATGATGACAAAATTTCTGATGAGTTATCTATAGTCGATTTTGAAGCATATTCTAAACCGGAATTTTCAGAAAAGCCTAATGAATTCATTTTTTCGATCGGGATTGGCTCTTGGGTTATTTGATTCTTAATATCACTAAGAATTCTCATATATCCTTGAAATAATTCCATGTGATACGGGTAACATTCTAGATATAGTTGTGAATCTGGTAGAGTTTCTATATAAACTTTCTCGAAAACTAAAATGTTTGCCAATTCCGCTTCAATTTTTGTCAAATCATACACAATATCTTCTCCTCTTGCAATTGCTAAATTTCTTTGACTATATGTAAGAATCTCATCATCCCAAACAAAATTTATAATATTTCCTGAACGAACATGATCAAGGCGTAGAGATTGAAGGCAATATCCATTGGGTATAACTGGTTCTGTTTTCGAAATTGCTAGTTCGATATCAAATGTAATTTCATCTAAAAACTTGAGAGATTTACAAGTTCCAGGTGAAATTACTATAACTTCTTGTAAGAACTGGTTTTGCAAGTCAATTAAATAATCTAAAATAGCGCATAAGAAAATTCCTGCATCTTTCGGTTCCACTAAACCATAAATAACTGGAAGATTATAACCTATGACTGGTTTTTCATTGGGAAGTTCATGACATTGATATCGATTTACGAAAGGTATTACTGTATTCCAACCAAGTTTAAAATCATTAAAAGCGGTATTCAAATTATTGAAAATTTCTTTATTTCTACCATCATTGGATTCCTCTTTTATAAATTGTATGAATTTCATATCTTTTGCCGTTTGTCTGGTTAATTGATATCCAAGTTTGTTATTCAGAAGTTGAGCAAATTTTACAATAGGTAAAAGATGTTTAAGTAATTCTAACTGCTTTGAATATTTGAAAAAGACAGAGAGAAATGGATGATCGTTGTTTCTTGTCAAGTTACTCATATAATAAGCGTGGAAACTATCAAAATTGGTTGTTCCAATTGTTCTCCATAAATTTGGTAAAGTTTCATTTCGATATTGCTTATCCATAACTAAAGTCTGATTAATTTCACATTCAATTAAGTTATTTTTTTTATTTTTGGTTAGAGCTTCGCTTAGCTTCATACGATAATTAGTTGCCGTTTTCGTTATATTCTCAGTAAGAGGTGTAACATAATTATCTTGAAATGATGTCTCCCAGTTTATGCGTTCAGGATATG